GTGGGCAAATATTTTCGCACAATTATTATAATTACTAAGTTGCTAAGCCATCTCAAAACTATTTTAATTGAAAAGTTATGCAACTTAAACCGTACTTAAATAAATGTAAATTTAAATAGTTTTTTATTGTTAAACTAAAATGAAGGTGAAATAAGAAATAAAAGTTATTTAGCTAAAATGTATAAATTAATTAACTTCCTATTCAATTTCCAAAAGATTAAGTGCTTTAGATTTGAACGTTTTGAATTACAAAAAATATAAATAATTTCGTTAGAGTTGTTGGAATGCTTGTAAATATTCAATGCTTAGATTATGTTAATGTTAGGAAAATAGCTTATAACCTTTAAGAAACTTTATACAATGGTTATTATGCTTTATGAAAATCCAAAAAAATTTAAAAATGCAATATAAAAATTCAATTTCAAACACTTTTAAGCATACTTTTCCATTCTTATAATCCCTTTAAAGTATATTCGACCCCCTAGCTTGCCAAGAAAGCAATAAAGAGTACCCTCCAAAATACCCATCCGTTACTGAATGGCATATTTAAACGCTCAGAGTCCGGAGTTGGAAAGTGGCTGGCTGAAATAATGCCTATAGTACAAACCCTGTCCCCGAATCGTCTGTCTGGTTGACGACACGCTCAGCTCCAGCCTTTGGGCCATGGCACTTTGGAAGTTTTGGCGCTCTGGGATTGCGGCGAATTAATCGATAGCCACGTTAATAGTTCGGCCGGGCGACATATGCGAATATCTGATGTGGCTGCACTGCAACTCCTGGCTGCCAATCATTTCACGCTTGATTGCCCACCAAGGTCGACGGCTTGCCACCGGAATCCGGTGCCATCCGATGTCGTCCGTGGGATTTGGGCTGCCAAGTCAGACATTAAGTCGGCAGTGGCAGTGAGAGTGGCAGTGGCAATAGCAAAGCCCCACCCAAACTGCCGGCAATTCATCTAAATCAGGTTCGGCCGGCCGGCCAGCTGCGGTTGTGGCTTCAATTAATTAAAACAAATTGTATTTGCCCATGGCCCTGAAACTCGGCCGGCTGCTGATGGCCGGCCATCTCCAGTATACACACTCCATCTTTCCTTTCCATTTTTTTTTTCCAATTAATTGTTATTTCATTAGCCTCCATTACTCTGTGAGCCGCCCACGCGGGCTATTAATGAAGTGGGCCCCAGTTCACCTGGCTAGGAAACGGAAGCCATCGTGGTGTGGAGTGATTCCCGGGGAGGTGAGCGTTATAATTTTCACTTTTATTGGCTTTTAATGAATGCGAAATTGCCAGGGATTATGAATACACTTGCCCATTATCTGCTGCAGGGCCATTAATTAGATTACAAAACGTTTTACGGGCTTTGGTCGGGGTCTTCGCAAAATTTTAACTGCAAAGTGGCGTGCTAAAAGGTGTTCTTTCTCGATTAATTTTTAGGGGATCTAGCAAATCAGCTTTGCAAACTTTGTTTTTGTTCATAGATAAATTTTCGCTCTTAATCTGTACAGCAACAACATAGCAAATTTTAAAAATTTAGCTTAATAAGCAGAGGTTTGCTGAGAATTAAATTGAAACTTCACCAGTTCTAACCCCATAACTTTTCTAATTTTTATCCGAATTTTTAGTGGCATAACTTGCTAAATTTGTTATTAAAATATCTATCAAGCCGCATCATTAGTTTATTTTCGATTTTTTGGTCGATGTCTTGTCATTTTTGATGACCCCCGGACCTTACAAAAATTGGTTTGTAGAAAAGTGACCAAATACCTATAATTCTAAGTCCATAACTTTTCTAATTTTATTCAGATCTTAACTCGGAAAACCTCTAAATGTTTGTATTTTAATTCTTCAATAGACTGCATAATTAGTTAATTTTTTTGTTTTTTTTTTTTACTGGTCTTTGGCCATTTTTATAATACAACTCTTGAATTTTGGAACAATCGGTTATTTAGCCTTTATGTATTTTGTTCGACATATTTAATGTCTGCAAGAGTATATAAGCTTCGACTCGCTGAAGCTAGATTAACTTCTTGTTTATTTCTAATTTCGTGCAACTCCATTCATTTGATATTCTTAAATGCAAATAAACTCGTACCTTTTCCCTTTTACAAAACGTGATCCTAGAAATTATTCTGTTATAAATTTCTTCTCAAACTTTGAAAATACACCCATGCATAAAATAAATAAATCCGATAGATAAATGTTGTGATATTGAGAGATTGCATTGCAATAACTTGGGTGGAATTGCGAATCGCACTTCTGGCTGAAAGTGGAAACAGTGCCGACGGTGCCCCAGGTGCATGCAGCAAATGTAATCGGAATGGCATTGTCACCGAGTGAGTCGGCGGTCCGTTGGCGGAGGAGAGCTGCAGCTGGGTTTTGTCCTGCCGGTTGACTTGCATTCAGGACCCGTCTCATTGACTTGTCAAGTGATGCTATCAGGCCGGGCTTGTGGTCGTTACAGTGAATTTGCTTGTTTGTTTGTCCGCTCGGCTGCTGATTCACTTGTCTGCCGCTTCGCAATTGAATGCCACTCTGTGTGGCGAGGCACGAGGCATACTCTGCCACTCCTGTGGGCTCCCATTGGCTGTCTGTCTGTCTGCCAGCCATTCTGCGTGAGTCCCTTCAACACTTTGCACTTTCCGGCAAACAATCACATTCATTGACTTGCATCACGGTGCTCGGCAAAAGGTGGAAACCCAACTGGGGCACACCCACAACCACTCGCCGCCACTCGTCTGATTATTGCTTGCTTATTGATAGCGAAACTGATTCGCCAAGTATGCGGCAAAAGAAGCGATAAGTTCGCTCCCTGCGGAGCCAGTGAAGCGTGCCACTTGGCAGCAGATACTTTCGCACACCCACACGCATCCGTCGGATACTTTGCCCGACTCCCAGTCGGCGGTAATTAAACTTACACGCCATTCAGGTCCCTTTCAAAGGCATCGAACTCAATCCGCAGTGGGCGGAAAAAGAGATAGTGAATATAAATATTTGCCAGAGCCTTTAACTTTCGGCATCTGTTCTGGAAAAAGTCAGTAAATTCGTTACCAAAAATGACTTTGCATATTTAAATCCGTAAATGCTTGAATTCTTGTATCAGAAAGGCAAATATTGATTTCAGGCAAAATGTTATTTATTTGCTATTTTGCATATTTATTTTCTCTCTTTGCAATATTGGTCTGTGAGATAGATTGCATTTTGGGGGCAAGTGTTTATTTATAAATGCCAGATTTATGGAGAGCCATTCAACAAAAAAGGCAAACTACTAAAATGTGGCAAACCGAAAAGAGCTCAACTAGAAAGCTCCAACCACAGGCATTCCGCATTCACTGAAATATTTCGCAACAAATTACGCTTTAAAGTGAGCACATGATGAGCGTCCTGCTCTGTGGGTCCCCTCCAGTGGCAGTTAACTTTTAATTTCCTCACCTGAGCCGAGGTACTTGCCCCACAGCGGGGAACTTACCTACCCACCTACCACCCACCTGCCCCACCGGCAGTTGTGGATACTGAATCCTGCAATCCTGAATCGTGAATCAGCGCCGCAAACCGCAAAGGACACGCGGCAGACCGCCAGACAAGAGGAGCAAAAACAAAAACAACATTTGAGCCCACTTTGGAGGTAATGGCTCGGCGTTTGTGGCTTACAGGCATCAGCTATTCAGCGCAAAGGCACACTGGCTTATTTTCATAATTGCCGCGGCTAAGTCGCGTTCTTGGCGGCAAAAGCGGCAAGAGCGCAATTGCCGCTAATCAGGACTCTTCCTCCTCAACCCCCCGCCGGTTTGCCATCCCATCCAATAAATGACTTGATAAACACGCCGAAATGATTACAAAGTCAACAGCTTATTTGCTATGCCAGAGACATTTCAAACTCTCAACTCGCCACTCAACTGAATCAAAGAGCGTGGAGTAAGCACGATTTCTTAATTATGTGTACACACGAGTGCACAGAAAGAATTCCCAGATCTTGATTTCTAAAGGTCACAATTAAATAAATCAGGAGTTCTCGAGAACTTTGAGAGAATATTTTTAGATGTTTCCATGAAAACAATTATGAATTACTTATTAATGAAATATTTTTATGGTTGAGAATACTTTCATGCTACTTACTTCACACACATTGAATCATTTACCAATCGTAATCATACGTTTTAAGTATGGATGTAAGTGGCTTTAACATTTTATTGATTTTAGATTACTAATATAATAACAGTTCCCTAATCCCTAATAACTTTAATGGGGGGAGAAATGTTGGTGTTTAATAGTTCTACATTTTTAAGCAGTTTAATATGTTTTTATTTAACCTGTTGGGAAAACAAATCCATGCTTTATTAAAATGATAGATAAATCACAATATTTTTCCTGTTTAATAGCTAATTAAAATTTGTACAATTTTTAATAGCAAATAGGTATTATGAATCACATCATCCGAAGCCTAAAATTATCCTTCGTTTTTTTTATTTATCTCAATAGAGCAATTTACTAGTTATTACTTATTACTTAAGCAGTATTTTCTCTTCAAAATAGTTTTAAAAATTTCCTTTATTTGGCTTAATAGCGATTTAAGATTTTAAAACTTTTATCTGGCACCTCGGAAATTGTATTAAAACTTGAGGAAACCAAAAAGTTGCAAGGAACAACATCCACTTGATATTAAAAACGATCGGAATTGTTTTGTGTGTGTGCTGTGGTGTTGACATTTAAGTTGGATGAAGAACGAAGTATCCATTGGGGGAGGAGATGAGCTATCCACCCGCTTGTTGCTGGCGAAAACTTTTCATTATATTTATGATACAGCTTGACTTTTGTTTTGTTTGTTTAACTTCTTGTCAACCTACATAATCGTGGCTCTCTCTCTCTCTCTGGCTCTGTTAGCCAACTTTCTCTTCAAATGTTATCCAGTGCGCAGGTCGCCGGAGTTGGCAATTGAATTTCACAGTAATTTCCTGGCCCCGAAAGCCATACGCTTCAGATAATCGCTCGTCGGCCTGCGAGTCGGACGTGTTTTAGCCGCAAAAAAAGAAACGAAAGTGAAAAAGCGGTAATCAGCGGGGAGAAAGTGACGTTTGTTCATTCATAAAGCGGTGTCCTTTTACGCGAAAGCCACAACAAGCTCGCATCCTAAAGGACAACGACATCTCGCTCGTGTGTGTGTATGAGTACCTCTTGTGTATATTTTTGTGCCGACAGGAAATACTCGAGCAAGGTGATACGAGAAAACACATAATAATTGCAAAGGACAACCAATTTAGTTGATGTCCATTCAGGTGAGCCAGAATTTGTCGACAGGACATTGTTATCGCGCCGCCATTATATTGTGTGATTTCTTCTAATGCAATTTGGGGACTATTTCTATTCGATTTTGTTTGCTTTTATTTGATTTTATTGCTGCTGCTGCGTATTTGATTTGTTGTTAGACACCTGCGGGCAGGCAGGGCGGATACTTGACATTAGGACGCCCAACTGGCCCATAAAAGGCAGCCTTTCGAGGGACTTGGCCACACAATCCCACCGCCAAACATTTTCCCACTCGAAAGCGGTCGAAATATTTTATGGTCTGCCACTTAAGTGCATCGGTGTCTTGGCTTTTGTCTTCCCCTTTTTATAGTTGGTACTTGAATTTTAAACGGCTGTCATGTGTCTCGTGTTCTGCTAAGTGGTGGAGAATTTGCCCGTAAATCTTGCGCTGATTAAGTCACTCCTTCAGCAGTTAAAAATTCAACAAGCCAGCAGAAAATATTTGTGTGTGCCGGAACCCCAACAAAAAAAAAGACAGCAGCAGTCTCACATGCTTTGCATATTGCTTATCTAAATTGTTTTGCCCGTGCCCCTGAAATTCAAGTAAGTGGGAAAAAGGCGGTCGGGCCATTAAACCGACAACACACACTCTCACACACTCACACACACTCACACACACTCACACACACACGCATACACACTCTCGACTAGGCAATTTTTCAATGTCATTTGAAGGCAGCAAAATTTTGACATTGCCCATTAATAAATTAGTGAGCAGTTCGTGCTGAGCTTCGGTTTGGTATCACAGCCTGCTAATTGAGTGGTAAATGCGAAGAAGCTTTGAAGTCGAAGTCCTCGGAATCTTGGGTTCTGATATCGCAGCTCAGGAATCAGCATCACGCAGAGCCAAATTAAAAGAAATGCCCAAGATCCAGGAGCCATCAACAGCTGTGCCCCCACAAAAAAAGTAATTTGAGGCGCTTGCCCCAACCTTTCACCCCCCATCCGCCATTCGCCATCCTGAATCTCGAATCCTGAATCCTTCACTTCCGTCGCAGCCTTTCGCAGCCTTTCACACATCTTTTAGCACTTTGGCCAAAACTTTGCAGCCGCTTTGGTTCGGTTCGTTTTTGAGGGGGTGTATAAATAAATATATATATATATATACATACCATATATATATATATGGGAACTCACTCACGAGTTTGTTTGCCTGTCTTGTTTTCCTACAAATCTTTTCAACAATTCAAAAATGTTTACTGGAACGAATTTATGGGATCCCTGTGTTGGCTGGCTTACATCTGTCCCCGTTTTTGTGTTTCTTGGCTTGGCTTAACCCTTTCGAGGCCGAATACTCATTATATTCTTGTTGATTCTGGATTGAATGGATTTGTACGAAAACATCATGAAGCGCATATCAAATGCAGAGCATGTGAATTCTGAGAAGTATTTTTGAGGCCGAAGAAAAATGCCTATTTATTCCAGCGAAAAGGCAACACATCTAGGAAAAATATATTCAAAATTGATGGGTTTAAAGAGAGATTCCCCAAAAAAAAATCAGTAATTTAAGACACATGAACTTGAGCTTTCTTTAAGGGTGTAACAAATTGCTGAGCACTTTCACAAAGGCATTGTAAAAATCCAATGGGCATGGGTATTTTAAGCCAGCTTCTCGGATAAGTAGATAAATCAACCTGCGCCATAATCCTCGACATTTACCCATTGAAAATCGAGCCACCTATCATGCGGGAAATCTATTCAAACCGAGCACAACAAGCGGCCCGCTTTCAATCCAATCCAATCCAAAGAACTCCCTCTTGGCTGTCATGTGTTGCCGGCGTAATCATTTGATTTGGATACTGCCGCAAATTCCCGCAGAGAGTGTTATCTGCTGGAGTTTGGGGCATTGTTATGACCGAAAATAAGTTAAGATACCCTTTAAAATGCCAGATGTTCAAATCGGATGTGGCAGTAAAGTGAGTTGTGTGTGCTTTCAGCAACAAAGCAACAAATGCTTCGCGTGTCAGGTTTCTTTTGTGTTCTGTTTTTTTTTTCTTTTTTTTTTTTTTTGCTTGTAACTCATTTTCTCTGCTCTACATATTATTTCGGGGTGTTAATTCACGAGAGCGTAAAAGATGGCGTCGTCTAGTTCCAGGAACTTTGGGGCACACAATAAACCACCTCCCCCTCCACCGGTGCCCCCCTCGTCATGTCATTTGGCCACGCCCCAGTATGCTGCAGTTTGAGCCCCACGAAAAACGGAGATTATCCCGATGCAGATATGTGGCTTTGGTTTATCTGCTCGTCGTGGTTTTACTCCTGCTCGCCTTGGTGCAATGGGAAATTATATCCTTCCAGTAAGTCTGCACTTACATTTTGTATCATTTTTTATGCTAAAAGGTTTCTCTATGTAGTAAACCCCTAAGCAAATTCTTTTTGGCCAACTGCTGGCTGAGTGTAACTTGTATGCTAATCTCGGTTCCGCTCCTCGCAGTTTTTTTGATCCTTCGTGAAGTTCGATATATCCCGATTCTGGGTTGGGTTCTTCTGTGCATTATTGTAGGTATAATTGATCATTGTTTTACTGCTAAAATACGCTACCCATATTGCAGTTTACAGATTGAGCTAATGGTCATTGGCATTGGCACTTTTGCTGCTTACTGTGATGAATGGCACTTTTTGATGTATTTTGCCATAACTGCCATTCTGATGGCGACCAGTTTGCTCATTGGTTCCTTTATTCCCTGCGATTTGACGGCCAATGTGGCTGTTCTGTTTTTGGTCGGCAGTCAGATGTTTTTGGTCAGCGTTTATCTGCTGATGACCTTCATGATGATTGAATCAGCCGACGGGTTTTTCTTCCCCTTTGCTGCCTTGCTTTTGGCGGTTGTTTGTATGGTAAGGATATCCGCATTTGGTGACTCCTCTAATCCCGCCTCTAATTCCCAGTTTGCCATGTATCATGGCCAACTGATTCGAGGCTGGCGGTATGCGGAATTGTACACCACCGATGGACTTTTTGCTGTGATCGTAATTTTCTGCCACTTCTGCATTATCCTGATGCTCTTCTGCTACTTGGACTGGTCGAAAGATAAAAAGGAAGAGGTTTACGGAATTAGTAAAAATAAAGACGAAGCTCTTAATAAGAACCTTCAATCTGGAAATGACAAATTTGAATTAAGAACACCAAACACTTACGAGGAAGTTGTTAATGGCGTAATATATCTTTGAATGCAAAAACAAATACCAAAATCAAATACCAAAATCAAATACCAAAACCAAATACCAAAAGCAAATACCAAAAGCAAATACCAAAATCAAATACCAAAACCAAATATCAAAACCAAATACCAAAACCAAATAGCAAACCAAATACCTAAACCAAATACCAAAAAATAAATACTAGTTTTAAAAAATTCAAATACTAGGTATTATTAATTTTTTTTACATGTATGTGAGTGAGGGCATTCATTGAGAAACTTCCGCTGGAATTTACAAGAGCCGCAGTGGCAACTTTCCACTATTGCCGCCTTGTTTTAATCAAATTGAGTCGGGAATTATCTCTCCACGGCATCGAGCACAAAGACAGACCGAGCGAGTAGTGGCCATCTGGCGTGTGGCTCAAAGGATTCCCCGCCAGGGAATATAAATTATCGCATTATGCTTGCAGCTCAGCTTTTTCGCCCGGCGCGCCATGATACCAATTAGTATAATTACCAGGGGAAGGAAAATAAAAACAGCACTTTCACTTGGTAAATACTTCATGAAAAGCGCAGTTCTGTTGTACTGCTTCCCATCCCTTTTTTATCCTACATTGCTGTGCACTGGGCATTAATTTTTATTAAATTGTTTTAATTTTTAAGCAGCTTACAATGATGGCTGCGGTGACCAGCAGCTCAGCTGTCACTGGAGATTTTTGGGTCAGTTGCTCTTTTTTTTTTTTGTTCTGGTCAGCACTCAGGACATCAGGCGCCTGCTAAGCCTACACGTCAACATTATAATAACATCCATCATTCTGGACCAAACACACAGATGACAACAACTGCCAAAGTAGCAGTAGAAATAAAAATATAAACAAAACGGCAAAAACAGGAAGAACATAGAAAAAAGCAGAGAAAAAAAAAAAAAACACAAAAAGCCAAAAACAACTTTCGTTCGGACTGCTCGCTGAGTAAACATGACATATTTTTGTTTACCCGAAACGCTTTGCTCGTTCGCCTTGTTAGGGAACTGCTGCTGATGGGCCTTTTAGCCGGGAATGAATGGGCCCTTTGACCACCATTTAACCTGCCGTTTCGGCGCCTTCATACACTCGTTTTTTTCATACACGTACGAGAGTATATAGAACTGTGCACCAGTATGAGTGTTTATGCATCCAATAATAAGCAATTTCGTGCACATAATTGGCAGTGGCATGAGCTGCTCGAGCGGACAAAGTAAATAGCCATAATTAATGTATACAACATAAATGTGACCTGACCGAAATACCAAAAAAGCGGTCGAAGAACACGGAACGACGACAAAGCCACGAAAAACGAAAAACTGTTTGTCTCCGTTTGGGGCACAGTGGTCCAAAAGCTTAGCTGGAATTGCTTTTTAATTTGGAGCAAAGTTTAATCCGGCTTAAAATGTACTTAAAACAAACCCCTCATAATATTAAATTACATGCTTTATAAAAGGTTTTTTTAAAAAGTAATTGCTGAAAATAAATCTTTCCTAAGTCCATGAGTTTAAAAATCCTTTGAAGTTCTTTTTGGGTTTCATTGTAATTTATCTCAAATTTTTATTCTACGAAACAACCGCTTTTTATCACTTAAATTATCAATCCCAAGAAATTCTATTATGATTATAAATGAATCCATTGAATTTTGGTTTGCCACCCGAGTATAAAATCGAAATTTTCATTTTCATTCCATATGGCAAAGGTCTACTTTAACACCGAAAGCGGCTGAACAATATACGCCGTATAATGCGTATACGCCGCGTTGTACACATTGGAAAATGTGCAATAAAGACGCTTTCTTCATTGATACGCAAAACAGCGATATGGGCATCTATATTGTATAATGCAAACTGTATATTGAGTGCCGAATGTTTGAGCCGGCAATCGCTGAAAAACGCGGAGGATGAAAAGCGGTCGAAAGCGAAAAAGAGAAAATGCGAAGAGGGAAAAGCATCAGCCGCAAAATTGGCATAAACAACAGGAAAATGTTTTTCGCCGGCGACGCGATGCTGTTTCGCTGATGTCTCTCCGGCTGATTGCGTTGACGAAATCGCATTGACGGCTGGCAACACAACGAAAAAAAACCCAAAAAATCAATTTTTTAATACAATTCATCAACGACAGATTTTGAGTAAAAACCATTGATATTTCTTCCTTTGTTGTTGAATAATTCAGATGTTTGGTTAAATGAACATGTAGGTGTGATAAAAAACTCTTGCAATTTACCTTAAATGTAACCTAAAATATTAAAATCTTGGGTAATGAAAAAAATTTTTTTTTAAGAACCAAAATTACTGAACTGTAATATTTTTTTCTGTGCAAAAACAGGAGCAACGACACATCCTGCCGATATTCGCCGGCCTAACGTAAAACATTGCAGGAAGTGCTCCTTTCTGTGTATAAGTGTGAGTGTGTGTGTGTGAGGGTGTACTTGGACACCCATCAAGGCTCTGGAGCATTCTCATTATTATAAAAAAGACGAGAAGCTGGCGGCGCGGGGAAGAATCCAAATTAGATTTGCACGTTGTGTCAATGAAGGTTTGCTACAACGCCGCCCGGGCGTCATTTAATTTTCATTTAATTTGGGAAAACACATTTAGGCAGGCGGCAGCCTCTAATCAGGCGCAAAGCCTTTTTATTCTGATAATAGTAAAATTAAATAAATGCAAACTGCTGTGAAAATTTGAATTTGTATTTTTCGGGGGCCGCCGGGGCACAAAAGAAGTCTGCGATATTTTGTGTGCGCTACCCGCGGCGACCCTTGGACTTTTCGAGGGTAAGCCATTGTCATTGTCGAGCGACGGCGTTGACAGCTGCTCCCCCGGAAAACCCCCAACGCCCACCGGTTTCTGCTCCAAAAACCAAAAGCCCATCCCCCCGTTGATGGTCGCCTTTTGTTGCCTGCATCGCTGTGACATTTTTATTACAAGGGCTCATGAATTTTATTTGGCTCGCGAGCAACGGCTGCCGATTTTATGGGAATTCCGCCTCCGCGACATCAAATTTTCGGTTCCTGTTTCGGTCGTCCTGGACGATAGAGCCAAACTATTCGCCCAAGACGATCGAAAAGAAATTGTGAGCACAATGCGCTGCCCGCAAACAACTCTAATTAAAAAAGTTTTACGTTTAACCACTTGAGTTGGCTTAAACACACCCACGCTGGCATGTGTGTGGGTACACTGAGGAAAACCAAGAAACAAAATGGAAATCATTTTAAACATATTTTTAATAATAGAAATTTTAAAAAGTGATTTATGTTATATTAGTTATAAAAAAAAATGTTGCAATAATTGTTTAATAGTGATTATTTTTAATTGATTAAGATTCTTGATTATTTGTTCTAGATAATACAATTAAACAATATTAAAAAAAAAAATTAAGTACTTCGAAGCAAAAAAATAAGTATATCAAAATAATAAATCATCTATGTTTGATAGTTTATTAAATTATTTAACTTTCAATTTATATTTAAATTAATAGACACACATTTGTTATTTAATGTTTATTATATATAACAAAATTAAATTTAAAGAAGATTAACTTGAAAAAACATAGTGCTCAACAGATGAGATAAAACTTTTTCTAAGAACAAAGTTAATAGATAAATGGCACTTAAAATGTGATAAACGAAAAAATGGCACTAAAAGTCTCGCAGAAAAGTGCCAATAATAAACTGCTTTCATCCGAAAAAGTGAAGAGAAAATGAGGCATAATTTATTCGCTGTGTTGCATGTTTGCGGCATGTGAGTGTGCGGCTAGACAATCAAAACTTTTGCCACAACCGAGGAGGAAACTTCAAAGCAAAGACAACAGGCGGCCCAAGCAAAAAGGCAGTTGGCAGTGGCAGTGGCAGTTGGCTGAGTGGAAACCGAGGGCATCGGGAAGGCGGCAATAAAATTAATGAAGCGCCTCGGCTTTTAGCCGGCAGCAATGAGAAAGAGAGACATTAAAGCGGTTCGCCGGAACAGTTGTAGGTCATGTCATTGCCAATGTCTGTTTAAGTATGCGCACAAAAGGCAGTCGCTTTTGCAGGAATTACGAATTACGAGGACAGAATCCGAGATGGAGGATGAGGGAAAGTAGGACAATTCCAGGACAATTCCGGAACAATTCCCCCGCGGGACAGCGGCCAGCCTGTTTTTGTTGATGGCGGTGGCTAATCTCTGATGTACACTTAATTATGTGGCACACTTTTGATCGCCGGGGGACTTCTTTGGTTGGTTGGGGTGCGCCATTCAGTTGGAGCGCAATCCTTTCAGGTTGGTCCAACCTTTTTTGGCCATGTCATGTAAATTTCATTTGGCCAAATGCTGTTAGCTTGGCTGTCGGAAAGTGTGCTAGACTTTTTGACATTTTCATTGGACTCTGCAATGCAAACAAACCTGGCGGGGAGAGTGGGATCCGGAAAATTCATGAGTGATAGAGGTTCACAGAGGAAACACGGAAAGAAGCTCACCTAATCCGACTGCCAGCTGAAAAAGTTCCCAGCTAAAGTTCACTTTCCAAGTTGAGCGCCAAAAATTCTTATCACAACTTGCAGTGCATTCCCATCAATTTTGCAACACTTTCTGCACCACCTTCTCCTCCTCCTCTATCTGCTCTTAGTGCCAGCAATAAAGCAATCAATTTTGAGCCCCAAACTCCCGACTTTTCCCGCCTGCCTCACTTTTTCAGCCACTGAATGAACGACACCTTTGACACGGGCCAATGAAAAAGAAAAATATCGATGCGCAGCGAGTTATTCAACCGAATTCGTAATTGTTTTTAAATGAAACTCTTTGTCCTTGGCCATGGCGAGTTGGCAGCAGTTCAGCAGTTTGGCACTACAGCCAGCCATCAATCAATCAATCAAACAATCAGGCAATGTTTATCTACTCTTCGCTCGATATCGACAATAAGTAATGAACACGAAACGCGAGTCTGAGGCGCTTCTTATCGGATTGTCTCTGCGGCATATTGTCTGCTCATTTGGCCTATTTCTGTTTGCATTATGCGCTATTTGCACATTTGATTGAATGAAGTTATGTACACTTGTCATGCAATCGACAGATTAGGACTCGGGCGAGGAAAAAGTCGACGTCCTATACAAACAAGGTTGGCTTACTTGGGCATCGATCCCATTCAGGCGTTGAAGCTTAAATTATTTAATATAACGGATTATAAAATTGAAATATACATCGAACTTTTCGATTTTTTTTTTCGATCGACTTTAAAAAATAATAAAGAAATTAAAAAATTATTGCAAAATATTGTAGAATAGAATCAAACAAATTAATTTGGAAGATAATTATATTTTGCATTTTCTCGAAGACTTTAGACTCGAGACCAAAAAATATAATACAAATTAAATTAATAAAGCCATTTAGACTTAAATGCAATTTATTAAATTAATCTCGAATCAACCCTTTCACCCTTAAACTCAAAATTCGTCACCCTTTTAATTAAAAAGTATTATAAAGTGCTTCAAACACGAACAATGTATAAACGCATTGCGCATACGCACTGTGTGCCAGCTATCAGTCGTAGCAAATTAATGCGACATGGCAGCAATTAGTCCGGCGCTGCTAAATGATTTAAAACTTGCTCCAAACTTTGTTTCTCCTCCACTGGTTTGTCCGCAACATTTTGCGCAAACTTTTAATTATTACACACTTGCGACTTGTTGTTCAATTTGTTCGCGATGCTGCCAGATTATAAACTTTTGTCGAGTTCAATTATGTACGCCGAATCGCCATCATTGTTTGCTCTAATTTGCTGCGTAAACTTTTGGCTTTGGACGGCTCATTTTTATATGCAATTAGTGCCCGGAATGGCATTAATCTTTTATAAAACTCAGATCGACTTTATCCCAGAGCTCCGGGCGCCCAAAATCATATAATTTTTAAGTTAGCATGTTCGAGGTAAATATAAGTATGTGGCCATTTTTTTTCGAAGAATCGGTTAAAGAGCGTCGACAGTACGCAATTCGAGTTTTTTTCGAGTTCACAGTATTTGTACTGCTGGGATTAGTGCATTGGATCCTTATGTTGACATTACTGCAGTAAGGTATCATGGAAAAATTTTATGCATTTTTAATATCTTCCTTTTTAATCAAGGGACTGGGTTTTGGATGTTGTAAAAGGCCATTCAACCGCCTTACTTCTCGCTTTTGTGGTAGGCATTTTCCTTCTGCTGGTGTTTGCCGTTAGTAAGCCGCTGCGAAAAAAGGCTTGTATCAATTGGGTTATTACCTTAATAATAGTAAGTAAGCTAAACAAAATTATTTAGACAATAATTTGGTTATTGCAAAAAAAACAACTTGTAAAACATAAAATATTTATTTATGTATATGGCTTCACAACGTTCTCTGTTTCTTTCATAGATGAAAATCTATCTGTTCTTATAAATTTAAATTGATGGATTATAATTTAACTGCATCATATCCTATTTAGGTGGAGTGTATAATAGTTTCTCTAAGTGTGCTGGTCATTACATCTGGAATTCTTTATATGCTAGTTGGATTTTTTATAGTCGCTTTGGTGGTTGTGTTTGCCATTTTGATAGCTGCCATAATGCCGGTGAGTGGTTGTTTGAAAATGAAAATAAATTATCGAGAGATAAAACTAACTCCTGGCCAACCACAGTGTGATCTAACTGGTACCGGACTTTACCTATATCTCCTGGGTGGTGGTACCTACACGATGGCTATATATTCCCTGATGCTGTACGAGATTCTCGAGTTGACCTGGGGATATTATCTGTTCGCGGTTTGCATCGCCTGCGTTGTGGTGCTCGTAAGGAACTTTCCCATTCTCATATCCTTGAGGTGCCCGCAGCATAATCAGAAATCATTTGCAGTTCCTGATGTATCATGTGCAGTGCATAATGGGCGGCAGAAGGGCCTCGGCCGGTCTGTTCGATGACAAGTTCGCCGCTCTGCTCCTATTCCACGAATTCATCGGCCTCTTTGTGCTAACCCTCTACTGGCGACCCCAAATGCAGCGCCTGCAGTTGAAACAATAAACGCGCAGTCGGTTCTATGGCAACCCCCTGTACTTCAGACAGTCCTCCATACGCGTTTTGCTCCATATGGGCAGTGGCTCTTGCTTTTGACACCCACTGGGTCCTCGCATGTGCAGCATTATGTGATCCCGACACCCGATCCTTCCGTCTGCATCGCAATCCTTCCCATAGCGGCTCACATAGCCACGGACAATCTTCTCGGCGCAATCCTGCACCGCCACGCATCCTTCGTAGTCTGTTTGGAGAGGAAGAAAGGGAAATCGGGTTAGACGATGGCCATTACACGCTTGTGGCAGACTTTCAAAAGAGATTACACAGGAAAAAAATTACTCAAAAATGTATAACCATAACATAAACAGTATAGCAAAGTTACTTAATAATATAATCAGGATAGCAAAGATATTTAATGAAAGGAATTTTTACTTATTTTTCATTCAAGGAATAATATCCCTTAAAAGTTTAAGAAAATCATCATTCCATTCAATTTTAAAAAGTCGCTAGTAGTTGATACCGTAAGGCCTTTAAAATCAATAAATTTAATAGCTATCAACTTAAAAATACTTTTAGACAATGAGCTTATTGCTTGACTTATTGCCAAATAATTATTTATCGACAAAAATATTTTTCGGTTTACCACTGACCAATGTGGGAATTTCTATTGGCAAACAAAGATTTAACTATTAATACTATATATTTTTGGCTATCAAATTGGATTGCACCATAATAGAAGAGAATAGCTCACTCTGGAACATATGTGGCAAATATATTTTTAAATCTTCTTAGAATTCTTCTTATTTTTTGGTGAAGTATTTTCCCCCCGTGTAGTTTGCCTTACCATGTGCAAGTGAGTCGTACGGATCAATTACTAGCTGTGTGTCCATCCAGTAGTCGTGGGAGATGCGGTAAATGCCGCACTGCACCACCCTTCCATTGAACTTGCATGGTGCCGGAATATTGTTCGTGGCTGTGATGGCCATGCAGGCCAGGCACTCGGCACTTGGCTCCAGCGGAGATGGAGGTGGAGATGAAGGTGGCCGGAATGTTGTTATCGTCTGGGCAGCTGCAAAATGCATTCCAAAGACCAGCCCAATTAGCCGTTTAATCGAAACTATTTACCACACAATTCAACATAGTTAGCGAGGCTTCCCTGTACTTGAATAGCTCACGCTGACCTCACGTTTTAGCCACACTCTACTTTAGTTGGAAACTTTCAAGAAGGGACTGAACCAACTACTAACTGGTAATGTTTTATTAGGAGTTTTGGCAGGGCAACTTTGAACTGCAGTTTTAGTAACTTTAAATTGATGTTAAATATGGTTTACAATACTTTGGTCATATACAAACTTGTGGGAATATATTTACATGTTTTATTGCTTAAATAACACAAACACTCGCTAAGTAATAAATGGAATTAATTAAAGAAAAATAATACAGATAATAAAAGAAGGAGAACTTAAGCTTGTTTAATGTATAAATAAGAAAATTATAAAAGCGTTATATTTTACTTATTGTTTTTTCTCTATTTTTTACGTCACATTTTGAATTCTTACATGCAATTCAAGGTTGCGGATAGGAATCTAAATGGTCAGAAATTACTAATAAACACGAATGTAAATTTTAATGAAAACAATTCACACGTGCTTTGCATATAAATAACAACAAGTCTTTATTATCGCTCTTGTTCCGAAGCGCTGAGATCAGCTGGTTCATCTAATGGCAATTTTAATCAGTCGACTGGGAAAGAGAGGAGGTGGAAGACCCCGGCAATGAGCACCGCTTATAGAATTATCTGATGGCGAAGAGCTTTCAGCGAATGAACAAGGGTCCTCGTAAGGCACTCACCCACTCCGGGAACGGTGACCAGGGGGAAGTCCGCCTCCAGGACATCCTCGCCACCCGGATCCTTGCGATTGAGGTGCAATCGGCCCAGATGATGCTTCTGTCTTAAGTGCATGTAAATTGCTCCGATTATGAGCAGCAGGGCGATAAGAATGGCGACCACACTGAGGACATTTCGAGTCTGAAGAAATGTTTGATTCCATCGCCGTTTGCCATTCCTTTCGGACATTGACAAAGCTTCGGCGTACTCCTGATGCTCGGCCACTTTGGCCGGATCCGTTTCTATATCCTCGACATTTTTGGATAATTCCGCCACACTGCTGCTCGAGATTTGATTCATTGTGAGAAGAGACAGCTTTTCCCTCGAGCTGTCGCAATCTGACTAACCCGACTTGACTGGAATCTCATCTCTCTGGGCACTTGGCATTCCTATTAGCAATCTCCAGGTGCTGGCCGCGATAACCTCAGTTCGATTATCGCTCAATGTTGTCGGCGTAATTGATGCCCTCTGTTTGCGGTTCCTCTGCTCTTCGCTTTTTATTTTCCCACCCAGCTAATCTGTTCCAGCTTTTGTTCTCAGCTCCTCTGACATTTCGGCGAATTTTTCTCTCGTTCAGTTGGTTTTTATTTTTTTGCGTTAGTTTTCCACCAGCTATCGAACATCAGCTAGTTGTGCACCTGAACAAATCCGAATTCATGTGGTTTTATTCACAAAAGTTCGCTGAATTCGATTTGTATTGTGTTTATTTTTTAAACACTTTTATTTTGACCATTGTCGAAAAATCCGCGTGTATTTTCAAAATTATTTGCAGACTAATTTAAACCAGATTGCTTCTAGAGCGTTAGGATTAACTTTTTTTATCATGCAATATGAGTCAATATTTTTTCATTCGAAATTCGTGGTTTGAATCATACCTTATTAAACGTTGTGTTTACCTTTAAAACGGGTGTATATTCAATAATTCATAAACCAGTTTGAATAGTATGTGGGTGTAGACAACTAGTTTTACCATTATTCATTGACTTTGTAATAGAGCGGGTTATACTTATGATAAGATTTACAAGAAATTATAACTAAAATAATACATGACAAAAAGATTTTTTTAATGGAGGTATGGATAAAATTTTGAACAGTTAAAGAAGTTTATAATTTTATTAATTAAAAAAAACTATCTGTTGTTTTTTAATCATAAATGAAAATTCATTTATATAACAGCTTTTCTTTTCTTTCCTTCAGAAACTTGATTTTTCTGGGTGTATCTCTTAGATTGGGTGTCGATTGCACTCCGCTTCCATTCACGACATGACAACTTATGGCAGGCGCCCGTTGAAGGGGCCAGTGGGTGTGGATGTTTGCGGAAGGGGAGGTGTTGGGTGCTTTGGCGGACAACCTTGCGCATTTGTATGCGCGAATTGTAAACAAATATGAGAAATTGTTGAGACTCTTGCGGCTAAATTGGAACGAATGTGGGGGCAGCAAACAACAGCAGGCGTTTGTGGCAGCAGGATTCAATAGTGGAACACCAGAAGAAGGGTGGCGCCACCCAAAAGGGGTGTGAAACAGACGTGCTCAGACCCTCCTGAAGTGCCACTTGTCATACGCAAACTTACTCCACAACCATCGTAATCTGTCAACAGTAAAGTGTGGGCTCACCCGTGCAGTGCATTCAAATATTTATCCCTGTTTATTTCGCATCTAGGCAGATATTTTTAAAATATCATCCATCAAGTTTGTGCCAATCAATGTGTTCAAAGAGATTTTTCTCTTTTTCCGTTTCCGAAGAACAATAAACTATGGCTATTCTGAAAGGTTTTCCATGTGCTGAGCTAAATGGAAAGTTATTGACACATTTTTCTGAGCAAAGAAATGTTGCATCTTTAAGCTCAAGTTGATTCAAGCAAACAATAAAACCAGACGAGCTATCAAGAAATATTTCAAGAAAATGATAATGGTCGAGGTTTACAGAAAATTTCAAGCAAGGCAAAAAAGATTTCTTATTGGAGAATTTATTGTTTATATAAAAAAATGACTTGCAATAATTCAACATGGTTTCACTTTGGATTTAGTGTTTTGTTTAACTTAATTTATTCAGTAATTGACAAAATAGACAAGGTATTTAAGGTTTTTGGATGCCTGCTTAAGGTTCCTTTAGTCTTATGCCCAACCATAAAATGTTCCCAAATGTCTAGGAAATACTTTATTTTAAATATACTGCCTTGGACAGCAAATGTTTGAGGAAAAGAAAAAATTAAGGAAATCCTCCCCCTTTTGGAAGACGCCTCTGAACACATCCTGCACAGGTGCTCGGCAAATAACAGAACTGCTCCGTCACTTAGTTGATTATTCTTTCTGTTTTTGTACAGCAGCCATTTCCACATTGCCTCGCAAATGTCGCCATTGTCTCAAGGCGTTTCCGCAGCCATTTCAGTATGTTTTCCCTCTTTCGGCCAAGGGAAAAAGGCATTTGTGTGTGCGTGTGTTTGCATGAGGGTGTATGAGTGGGTGCTGGTTCCCACTAACACATGGACAGATGAAAGGACGAGGCAACCACAAGCCAAAATCAATTATGGAAAAATTACCAGTAGTTGGGCTAAATGGCCTTTATTTGACTTGGGGACTGGGACCCAGTTTCGCTTTCGGTTTTTTTGGTATTGGGGCTGTCGCCTTGTATGTGTAATAATATGCGGTGAATTCTTTTCTTGCAAATTTTCCACTCGAATTCCTTTTGTGAGCTGGCATTTAAACCCTCGTCCGCCTGTGTTTCCCCCCTTCTCCCTTTTCTATATAAAAAAATAAAGAGGAGTGCACGAAAACGGGGAAAATGAGCTGAAATCTGAACGCGAGTACGAGCACTTGGTGCACTCGATTATGGCAGGCGCCAAGCTCTCGTTCGGCGGTAACGGTAACGCCACTTTCCGGTCTGATTTTTCCGCCCACTTCCGCTTTTCCCCCTCCCCTTTTCTGTGCTGCTGCTGCTGCTGCATGCGATATGCATGAGTTGAGCCAATGTGGCCATTCCGGCTGATGTACACGGAGCACGTAGCATGCTAAAACAAAGTTAATTAGATTTGCGGCAAGATGCCCATTATGGCCAGAACGACGGGGTCAGGCAATAGCCCTTTTATTGTGAGAAGTGCAGCTCAGTTGGGCGTTCAAAATTTCCCTTTCATTGGTTTTTATGAACTCGGTTGGTGCTTTGCCAATTTACGCGATAACTGCAATCAAAGTAGAATATTACTGGGAAGGGAATGTTTTAATTTGATGGTTTTGGTCCAGCAAAAATTCACCAATATAAGCTGTTTTCGGAAATTGAATTTGTAACAACTGCGTTTATTGTCGACAGCTTTTATTAAAGTGTTTTAAATATTTTTTAAATTAGTTTACAAATATTTTCCGTACACAAACTTTAAAGTTTGTTCAGTTTACGCAGTAAAAATGTACTTAAAATAAATGTGAAAGAAACACAAGTTTTTCACTTGTAAATGCATTTTATTTCTGGAGAATAAAGGTGGTATGCAACGAAATAATTTTAACTCCTAAAAACACTTTCTAAAAAATATAAAGCTCCTTAAGTACACAAACAGTTTTTCTTTGCCAAACTGTATCACATTTTTGCATTATCAAAATGGCACACAAAATGAGCATCTATCATGCTAAGTTCCGGTAGATAGAATTAAAAAGTTCGTTGCATGGCAGCCAACTACACTCCAGCAACAAATTGGTAAAAATGTAAAGTAAATTCGCCAACAATCGGATTATATAATGCTTGCATTTAGCTAACAAGCAGACTCCTCCAAACCACAGATAATCTGGTTCCGGGTGACGGGTATGTGAAAGTCGAGGATTCGTTTTCCGGTTGCATTTGCCGCGAACTTTCTCTCTTTTTGGGTTTCGTGTGGTTTATTCGTCTGGATGGGCCCGAGGCAATTACCGTGCTTAATGGCCTCCAAAATGTTTGCCATCCCCGTCGCTTTTCGCCTTTTCCCCGATTTCCACTTTCTTGCTCCTCGCTCCTTTGAGCATCTGGCGTAACTTTCTTTTTTATATTTACGAGCTGAATGCATTTTTACATTTACGTCCTTACATCTTTTCTGCAGTTTTGCCGCGCGGCGGAGGAGGAGGCTAATGCATTTCGCCCGGGATAAAGTTATACCATTAAGGCGGCGTGAGGTACATATGCAAATGTCAGCTTGTTAACGACAAAGTTGAATGATTGAAAATGCAAATTGCGACCGCAACTGACTTGCTGCCGAGGATGTATCCTGCAGTAAAAAACCAACAACTACAGCAACAGCAAAGAAAACAAGAGTGCAGCTGCACCACAGCCACAAATTAACCCACCGGCGGTGCCGACAACAACTAGTTAAAGTGGCGGAAATGACACAGTCAAAATGTATCGTTGCAAAAATTGGTTTTGTGCGCGCAGCAACAACAACAACTACGTCGATGTGGCACTAAATGAGGTGCCGCCCATCCACGCAACACCAACCGGAACAACAACAACAACAGCAACAGCAACAGCAACAACAACGCCAAACAGCCGCAACAACAGCGCAAGCAACAACAACAACGTGCGGAGTAATAGCAGCAAAAGCAATCAGCAGACAAGCGCAACCACAGCGGGTCACAGGGCTGTCACCACCCACCACACGAACCATCCGACCCACCCGAGCCACCCCAACCACCCGGGCGTCCATTCAACCGATGAGGCTTCGCCGCCACAGGCCCACGTGGTCACCTTTCTGGACGACACCACCGCAAGCGGCAGCAACGGCACCGTGACCAGCAGCCGGCTGGTCACCACCGCCGAACTGCACCAGGCCCACATGCTGGAGCACCACTCGAACCTCGACGCCATCGAGCAGGCGGACGACTTCATCTACGGCCCGGGCGCAGGACTCTCGCTCTGCGACGACAGCCTGCCCTCCGCCAAAAACTGCTACCGCCTCGTGATGCTCGGGTATGTAAATACATAAAAAATAAAAATAAAATGTAAGAGATGAGGGCTCAAAATTAACTTGAAGATCATATATTTAGAATAACACAACACAAGTATTCAAAATGACTTTAAAAATATAAATAAAATATAAAAGGTGAGGGTTCAAAATTACCTTGAAGATCAAATATTTAAAATAACACAACACAAGCATTTAAAATGATTTTAAAAATATAACATAAAATATAAATGATGTGAGTTCAAAATTAACTTGAAGATCAAATATTTACAATAACATACCAAAAGCATTTAAAATGATTTAAAATATTTTACGCAGAGACTTTACCTCATAAAATTCTTTCACAAATGTACGCCCATTTAAATTTAAATTTAAATTAAATTTTATTTAATTACAAAGTTTTTAAAGAAAAAATTAAGGCTATGTATACAAGAAAGTAAGTAATGAAAAACTTCTTAGGTATCACCTGAAATAAGAGAATTCCAGTGGGTATTTAAAAAATTTGATAAAAAATATAAAATCATATTTTTGATTGACTTTTCGGAATGAATCATCTCAACTAAAATGACAAAAATTGAATTCAATAAGTTCTCAATAATAAAAATGATTTTGAATAGATAATGGTTCTTGTGTTTGTATACTACAGATGTAAAAATAAACTGGAGTACATATATATTTTCTTCGCTTTCCACTATCTTACATTTTTTTTTTCAATGTAATAATCATCCAGTTGGTGACGTCCACCATTCAAGTTAATTTTGAGCTTTCATTGCCGTTAGTCTGCATTCGTTGAATGGACGGCGTCAATGGGAAATCCAATCTCGATTTGCAATTTTCCATCCCATGCAGCTCATCACGCGCCGGCAAGTCGTCGATTGTGGCACGTTTCCTGGGCAATCGGTTCGAGGAGGCCTACACGCCGACCATCGAGGAGTTCCACCGCAAATTGTATCGCATACGGAATGAGGTCTTTCAATTGGATATTTTGGATACTTCTGGCTATCATCCGTTCCCCGCAATGCGTCGTTTATCATTTCTAACTGGTGAGTGTGACGTCCTGGCCATCAAATAGTTTTCATGTGTGTGTGTGTTCGACATTCCAAGGACATGCGCCAATCGCTGGGAACGCACGTTCTATCACTTAAGCTGTCTACTGCCTTCATTGGGTGCCATTTAATGTCCTATAAATTATCATAAAAATCAGGCTCAGCTGCTGGCAAACAAAGTTGGGTTCTATACCCTTTCAAACGATATCACGGAAGTGGGGGTAACATTCTTGGCCACCAAAATTCTCGTTAACATTTCAACCAAGAGTCATGCCCCTGTGATTAAGTACATATATTTCGAAACTAGCTCTCCTTACATTTTCAATATGTATGCATAATGTATAATTAAATAATTATGGTCCAATAAACCAAATATTAATTTCAAAACTGCCTAATAACTGTTATTTTTCTTTTGAGAAGTTAAATATAGAAAAACTCTGCCTTTTTCCCAAGTTTCCTTCTAATTCGTTCTACTCCCAATAAAAATGTTTTATATTTTGTTTAGTCACGCCCTCATTAGAACTTCTTTCGACTCATAAAAGCGCTCGGAATTATTAATATGAATAGCAAATAATAAGTAGGGTATTCATGTGTCAGTGGAATGCGGCTATTGATTTTCCCACTCCGCATTTTCGGTTATCCGAATTACCCTAAACAACCCGACCCTCACGCACAATCTGAAACACATTAACATAGCGGAGATGAGCTTCAGATGTCAGGACCGATTTATATAGTGTCTGGAAAATTGCGAGTGCGTAGGTCATAGATGCGGGGCCATAAATAAGCAATAAATTTGCATTTGCTAAATCAAACAACGATTAATGTTTCCCTTTATGGGTTTCGGTTGCCTTGCAGGGGATCTCTTTATCCTTGTCTTCAGCATGGATTCCCGCGAGTCCTTCGAGGAGGTGGTGCGCCTGCGGGAGAATATCCTCGAAACCAAATGGGCAGCCCTGAATCCTGGCTCCGGCTTCAAGAAGAAAAGTCTTCCGAAGATACCCATGATTTTGGCTGGCAATAAATGTGATCGCGATTTCAAGTAAGTGAAGTTATTACTCGGATACTGGTGTCAAAGAAATCTGTTTAAACAACAAGTAATCAACAACAAAAATAGTAAATTACTAAATTAAATATTAATTTGCACTAAAATAAATATTAAACGTTTTCAAGCAAAGCAAACATATACGATTATTATTTTAAAAAAATATATACAAATAGATTTCTTTTACACCTTTTAAACTAATAATTTTAAGAGAGCCTACCCTTATTATCCTTTATCCTTTAGAACCGTTCAAGTGGACGAGGTGATGGGCTACATCGCTGGCCAGGACAACTGCTGCACCTTCGTGGAGTGCTCGGCTCGTCAGAACTATAGGATTGACGACCTGTTCCACTCCCTGTTTACGGTGTCCAATCTGCCGCTGGAGATGACTCCCAATCAGCACCGGAGGTTGGTCTCCGTGTTTGGAGCTCCATCACCTCTTCCTCCTCACGGATCGGCGGTGGGAGGAACCAAGAAGAACGCGCTCTCCATCAAGCGGAGATTCAGCGATGCCTGCGGAGTGGTGACCCCGAATGCAAGGAGACCCAGCATCCGCACGGATCTCAATCTGATGAGATCGAAGACGATGGCTTTGAACGAGGGCGAGGGGGTGAGGAGCCCCTCGCGATGGAACCGCTGCGCCCTGATGTAGAAACCGAGGACAGTGTGATAGTAGTGACGAGGGGATCCTTGAGGATATTAGGGGAATTCCAGGGGATAGTAGGAGAATTCCCGCAAGTGGAGCAGCAACTAATTATAAACGCAGCGTTTGGGTGATTTCGATATTATAGTGTAAATACTCGTTTAGTCAGGCCGCGGCAAGTGTGTTGAAACTATTTATTAATTATGCATTTAGCACATTCTCGCCAGCTATGGACAAAAGAGGCAAAAACCGCGCAAAATGTACTTGTTTCGCAATGTTTCGCATAATTTAATTGAAAGCGATACTTGCATTACATGCCGAACAGAAACATCCACTTACCTCTGCCTGCCCGATGTCCAATCTGAATTATCCTACGCACTCGATGCTCAGTTTTCCTCTTAATTTATGTATTCAATTTTCAATTTTAATTGTATTTGTAATTGTGATCGTTGTAATTGCACATTTACTTGACGCACACAGAAAAAAAAAAACAAAAAGCAGAGGACAATAATGTTAAATCGTATTTGAAATTGCGTTAATCGCAGTTGTTACTCAAAATTTAATTTATAGATTTAACCAATTGAATTTACAAGAATTTATATTCAAGCTAATTTAATGTTACCGTTGATTGTTGAAGACACCAATTTGAATATTTGACCATAAGTAAGACGTTCTGTTTCGGCACACAACTAAACTCCACTGTCAAACATCAAAATCTAAAGAAAGATTGCATATCAGCCAAAACTGGAACCGAAACACACCGAATCAAAACTTTTGAAGGGAATCTTGACCAACTAACATACAAACTAACTCTACTGTAACACTTGTACACCGATCTACGCAAAATCTAAGCCCAACTATGGTTAACTATATTGCAAAATGGAAAACATATATGATACACACTTCTAGCGTTAAACCGAATTTATCAGATCTGTTCTCGATTCGATTTCGGGTCCCATAGGGCGGATTTTCAATCGAGAACAGCTCCGTAAGTTTAGCAAATTCGAGTTTCAATCTAACCTAAGCAACAGCAACAATTTTCGCGAGTTTAACATTTATAAAGTATTATCGATAATGGAACTACAGAACATATGTGTTTCATCGCGGCATGAAACCAAGACCAAATGAATATTCTAGCTATACTTACCAGCGACATTAATGCTAACCAAAAAATATGTATTAACTTACAAGTTACTGAGAATTCAAGCATATTTAGGCAAATATCGTTAATAATAACATTAAAACGCAAAGTGCAAATATTTACAAAATTCGCGTTGGGCCAAAGTGCACTAAAGTAAAATAAAATTAAAATAAGAATAATAACCGGGAGATTTGTGCGATTATTCGCCAAAGTTAAAATGATTTACGATTAACCTTAAAAGCTAACTTTTTAATGCTTTGGATTTGCATTGTTTATTTACATATTACGTATATTGCAAACGATTGAATTACGATTAAATAAAATTTGAAACATAACTTTAAGTGAGTTTTTTGGGTTCGAATTTTGGGTAAAAGCTTGGTGAGAATTGCAAGGAACCTGAAGGTCCTTAAGCTTTGTAGCTTTTAAGGAAGTAGAAGCAACGCTAAAGCTTATATTTTTGGAAGGATAAAAGCTACATTGTCCTGCTCGTTTAAGTTCACGTGGAACTAGTAGTTCCAACTGTGGAATTTGAAATATTTGTAACGGCTCATACATTTCCTGCCTAAAAAAACTTAGCTTACAGTGTGCTTTCTTTATTTACTGATTTCCGAAAACGGGCAGAAACTTTTAAGCTTAATATTTCCTAATTTTCAATCTTTTTAAAGAGACAAAAAATTTAAAACTCTCTTTAGCAAGTTATAAATACCTTTCATTTAATTAATACTAGCACTCAGAATTTAAGGCTCATGAGGATTGTTTATGGCTTAGTTTAAAAATATTTTGTATTTACGCTTTTAGCCAGTAAGGACATTAATTTGGTTTCTGCACAGGAAGAGCTTTTCTCTGGACTTTATTTGCAATATCATAAGGAAAAACTTTAAAGCTTTAGCCACTTTTTTTGAATTAAACTTCTTCTGCAAAGCTTTTTCCTAAATGGAAACACTTTATTGTTAAAATCATAAGCCACCTTTGAACTTAATTACCATAGAACAATTTATTTTTTAATAATTATTATTTGCCAACCATTTTAGCACCCAACTATTCATACTTGACACGTGGCGTATACTTGATGCGAGGTGACACCCTTTTTCATATTCATGACAGCAAATCAAAGTCTATCCTGTCAGATGACAACAACAACCTGCCGCACATAGGCCCAAATTGCAAGACATTCGCTGGGAGAAATTTATGTTTTGCAGGCGCGCCCATATGGTCCTAAATAATTGCCAGTTTGCCGGCCTGTGGAAAGTACGAAAGTATCAGGGGCACGTGCACGTGGCGATGACGCCGACACATTTACGCCCAATTGAACAATTTTCCGGGGAAACGCGGAAGCGGGAAGCGAAAAAGTGGGTAAAACGGGAAAAAGGTAGGTGTAGATGGTAGGATGGTCCATATGGCTAGAGGGCATCCGCTCAAAAGTGCAGTCAATTTTAATTGCTTGTCCGATCGCAGACAGGGGCTATTAATAGGCTTATGGGTTGCATGATATACCGATATGCGAAGGCCTTTGCCGTGTGGCTTTTGGGTGGCGTTACCAGAAATTGGCCAGGGCAACTGGATTGCCTTCCACTGCAGCGACTGCCCTTCGTCGCCCCATAATCGCTGCGGTTAGCTGGCCAGGCCCAAAACTACCCACTTCAACCAGGGAAACCAGGGAGGCGACCGCCTCCCTTGATACCTAATACAATTTGCATATGAAATTTCCGTCTGCCAATTACAATTCGCCCAAAATAGATTAGTGTAGCCAAAAAGCCAAATCATAATTTTAATTATGTATTTGACTGCTGCTCTACGCCGTCGACTGCTAATTAAAAGTTAAGCATTTTAGCATTTCGATTTGATTGTTTTATTTCGATGATCCTGTGTAGTTTAATTAGCAGAAGATGTGTAATCGCTGTCAGTCCGATTGCATCTGCACCTGCACCTGCAGGTGGTAAACGCCGATTGCCGAGCTGGTAAATATTTGAGCAGCAGCAAAATGGAAAACTTATCGCACGTTTCCCTTCCAGACTTTGCTTAGAGCTGTTTAACTATCAGTCGGCCGAGGAAAAAGTAAGGGAGGGCGGAAAAACTTTCTATGTAAACAGGAGCCATGTTGACGATGCCGTCTTTAAGTCAACCAAACCTGTTCACTAACAACCAAGAAGGACACTGCCAACATTTTTATTGTTCAATATCAAAGACTTCATTTTCTTACTATCAAAATCTTTTTCATATTCATTTTATATTCATATTTTACTAAGATAAGAACTTGGTAAAATGAAAAGGGATATACAAATTTTAAGCTTTAACCTTTAAAAAATATTTTTCAACATATTTTTTTTTGGAATTTGTTCTTATTGACATTAATAAAATCTTTCTATTCCGCAATTTATTGTAATGAATAATTTGTTATAGTTTTGATAAATAGTATTTATTTGATCAAACCTTTGTATATTTATTTTACATTTCCTGTACACAATTAAAACATATATATTTCTTATTAAAGGTATTGGTTACTTATAGATTGAAAAGCGTTAATCCCTGACTTAATTGCCTAATTAGCTCGCTGTTTTTTAAGTGTTTTGTTTACGAGCTCGCAGAAAATATCGCAGCTTGGGAAACTTTTTGCTCGGTGCACTTGTTGGCGGAGCCGCTATCGCTGGTGTATTTGCTTATTGTGTTTGTAAACATTGCTAACAACTTGAGTAATGCCGGCGACAATGCCAGTATTGCCACTTGCCACTCTGCCACGCCCACCGTTACACCTACGCTTGCAACTGCTAATAGAGTGGCGAGGGGATTTGTGAGTGGGTGGTGGGTGGTGGGTGGTACAACCGCCGCCTTGCAAGTTGTAAGTGCCCAAGTTTTTCAATTAAAAGTTGCTACCTTTTGTGTGTTACTGCGGCGGCATAACATAAATACACACGCATGTGTGTACACACACACACCTCCACACACACACATTCGCTGCGAAACGTGGGCTTATGTATTTCCTGACTTTTCGCCTAATCACGATGCCACCGCTGATATATCAATAAACCACAGGGCAGAACGGAGCAGGATCGCTTGCATTATAAATCAACAGCGACCAGAAACCAAACTCCTGGCGAACCCAACCAAACCAAACCCAAGCCAAACAAACAAACAAACAAAACGAACCAGCGAACAAACGGTGAACGACAGGTGTTGAAGTCGAGGGCATTATAAATTCATACGAAAAAATAGCGAAACGTCAAACAAATTGCAAGTTTTCAGTTGCATTTCCGCAAAACGTAACTGAAATAATACGTTCTCCGCGAACGCAGCAAAGTATGCAACAAAAAGCTGATGTTGTGGTTGGGCTTGGGTTTCTACCTTCTACCTTCTGCCTTCCTACCTTCATGGTTATCGCATGGCAGGGCACACGGACAAATTGAAGGTAGGCCCTGTGGCAGCCCGGGGCAACGTCTTCGACTTTACGGCACGACCCCGCCCACCTTTGCCCTTTTCCCTCCTCCGCCCTCCGCCCTTCGCCGTGCCACTCCCTTCCACGCTTTTGCCGCTCGCATGACAAGTTGAAATGTTGACGGCTCACTGACATTGTCTGCCAGTGTATACGTGCCCTCCTGTATGAGTGCACTGAAAAAAAAGTTGATTATTTGAGTTACATTAGTGGCTTTACTCAGCACCTAAAAACTTGTAATATAAAGATAAGGGAAAATAGAATAAAGTTATTACAAAATAATATAAAATAAAATAATTAATTATCCGAACGAATATATATAAGATTAAAATGGGATATCTCTGTCATTCGGTAGGTTATAAAAAGAGTTAACACCACAAAAAAGTAATACGGATGAAAGCCCCGTTTTTTTCGATAACCATATCATACATTGGCATTATTCTGTATATGATCAGGATAACTGGATTAGTATAAGTTTTTTTCAAGTGGTAAAAATGTTGATAAAGTCATAAAACATATTTTGATTTAAATTGTGTTTTTTCTGTCGCTTTCTTACTTGTATCTCTTTTTTTGAAAAATGAGCTTTTTACAATTCTGTTAACCACTTTTCATAGATCAATATCAATAAACAATATACCGAATGACCCATAATCAAACTCCTTTTTTCTCAGTGTACGTGCTTGCGAGCTGCATGCATGTATGAATGATATTGTGGCTCGACATGGCTGCGCTGCAAGAATCTCATACAAAGTTATGCAAATTCCCATTCCGTTGTCGCTGTCGCCGCTATGTTGATGTCGCGAGGGTTTCGGGATCTCGGCTGTGGGCTGTGGGTTGTGGGCGTGGCATCGGTTTCTGCGGTTTGGCATGCATAATTGTTGGTTTTTAGTTACACGTGAGTCGGCCGTGCGGCCCCGCCCCCCAAACTCTTAACCCGCCCCTCCCTAGGCATATTCATACATATTATTTGCTCGTCGTAATTGTCTATCTGTTCGCTACTGCCAGAATTTTGGCGATTAAAAATTAAAAAAAGCCATTACAAAGTACTCTCGAAGGTAATGACAAGCAGACATTTCTTCTTTATTATGGGAAAGTCATAATAATACCCCAAATGCCACTGAATACATTTACCTGTCATTGTCTGGTTTGGAAATGCCATTAAGCGTTTCATCAAACCATAAATGGCTTAATTGGATGGGTTTGGCAATTTAATCTTCACTCAACCAATTCCACATTTCTATTTTTGTGTTATTGTGCAGGCCACAAGAACTCATTTAACTCAAACTCCAACTAAACTTCATTGGACCATCTGTTTTGATTAGAACCCATTCATAACTCTGCGTAATTCGAAATTCCCAATGGCTATGATAGATTGTAAATCACATGCGGGCAGAGCAATAATCATTTCTCAGACATTTGTTATTTTTGGGATACACTCACCTTAAACTGGACCGAAGGAACTACAACTGGGGGCTATCATCAAAAAACAATTCTCTGCGTAGCGTCCGCAAAATAATGGACGTTAGGCCGCGCGTCTTGATAAGCTAAATGATAAATTGTTTTTATTCGTGACATATGTACGCCCTTCAGAGCTTCCACACATGTATATATATGTGTGTGTGTGTGTGTGAAAAACTTGTTACGGATGCTGGACGCGTATGTGTGGGTGGGAAAGTTGTTTTGTGTTCCCTCGCTTTGCTTTCGATAAGACAAAAAAAGAAAACCCAGGGCCAAGGAAAACCGAACCGGAAAAACGAAGAATGCGGAAAACAGGCTTGGAAAACTTGTAAATGCGCCTGGGCACAAAAGTGGAATCTAATAAGCTCACGGCTAAATGTGTTATGATGAATGACATTGTCAGCCGCACACGGAATTTAAACTTTTTCCGCCCGAAGACCTCGAGCAAGGCTTATAATTGAAAACTCAAAATACAAGGGCCTCTGTCCTTGTACTTTTTGGGAGTGAGACTTGATTTGGCTTCGCAGCTAATCAACTAATACCGCAGATTGGCATGCATTCATTAAATTAAAATTTCATCCCGCTCATCTGGTTTGATTGCTTTGTGCCCAAGTGGCGGTCGTTCCCCCAACTCCTCCTCCTCCAAATTCGCCGTCATATTGCGGCTTCCGACACAATTGGACCTGGCAGTCCCAATCCCAAACCGAATCGCAACTGTTGGCGCTGGGCGGCTTCTTGGCCTGTTTGTTTATTTGCCTGACAGCAGCCGAAACCCCATGCCTCCTAAGTATCTCTATCTTCATCTGTATCTGTATTTTGTATCTGTATCTGAGCATCTCAGCCAGGATAAAATCCGCATCCGGAAACTATGTTGGCCTGCCATTGAAATTCATAAAGCATCAATGGCCCCGCCGAGCTTCTCTTTTCCGTGGCTCTTTTTGTTTGAAATCATTTGCTTTAATTCAAGTGAAAAATTATTTAAATTGGTTATCAAACGTGCGGCTCAGACAACCATCAATGTGCCTACGGATGCAGATACAGATACACGCTCAGATACAGATACAGATACAGATTCAAATTCAGATACAAACACAAATACAGGTGCACGTTCTATAGACATTTGTTTTTCGGGGGAAATGGCATAATATTCTGTGTTTTGCCCTCCAAACAAATACCTTTTGTTGCCGGTCTGCTGGTGGAAATGAAAATTGATTCCAACTTAAATGAAAAATATTGATCAAAGTAATTTCTTGGCTTTTGCCCAGGTAGATGAATTTGTAATATTTTTTTATTTAGTGAAAAATGCATGAGCCTATAAAATATTTCCAATGCAGATAGACAGCAATTGCGCCTGGATCCATGGGGATTTTGTCGATATGCCAGAAGTGCTCCGTTCGCTCTGAAATTTCCAATGCGTGTTCGTTGCCATTAATATTTTAAGGCCAAAACAACTGACACAAACTTTCCGGGTTGCTTCATGTGCAACATCACTTTTACTATTATTCTGCGGCCAATTATTAATTTTTACCTCTCGAAATGTTTCCATTTAAAAGCATTTGGTTTTTTGCATTTGATAGTTTACCTTTTATTGTTTCGTATTATTCAATTATATTATGCTATTATGTATTTCTGTTATGCTCTCTTTTCTTCATGTTTTAGGCTTAGGACTAGAGGGTCTGCACTTCAGTTTTGATTTCACTAAATATATATTTTATACTTTAATCGTACTATATAATGTCACCTTGCGGCTGGCTACCGCGCGCCATTCGCATTGTGTTCTGCGTCTGTGGTTTATTGTTTTAAATTAATACCTTAACTGTCATTACAATTACGTTTAATTACATTACAAATTTTGTAGTTTGGAAATGCATTGGTTAAATGCAAAAAGAAATTATCATGTAACTAACTATGCTCGGTAATTATAATTAGAATTTAGTTAAGTATTCGTTATCGAATGACAATAAATTACGAATTCACCATCCATCGGGTGTGCATGTATTTATGTGTGTCGATTAGGCTATAATTTCATTACCGTTACTCATTTGATGCATATAAAAACTGCGATCCGAATTTGGATTTCGATTACGAGTATTTTGGGAGTCGCGCTGGCTACACTGTAGAAAATCTCTGGCCTAAGATAGGAGTAGAAATCGGTCGTAAAACATATATCCTATATATATATATTATATATAGAGTGGGCAGAAAGGGCTGCATGCGATAGTTTAAAAACGGTTTCGTATCGTACCCATTCGGATTTCCTTATAATGTACACACACCTAGAAGTCTTTTGACAAAAATACACATTTATACACGCATATACAGGGTCCTGTGAAGAGTTCGTCCTTTCTCGCTTATCCCTTCTCTCGATTATTAGTTCTTGATTCTGGATTCTCGGGTGCACTGCCATACGAGCTAAGTAGGATACTAATTTGGCCAGTATTGCGTAGGCGGAGGCGACTGGGTGATCCGCTGCTGTGTTTGGATGAGCTTACGTAATTACAAAAATTACATTAGTTCTCGGTTACGGCTATCGGTTAGTTACAAATTACAGATTACAAACTACGAATACGTTTTTCCTGCTTGTACAAAAATTGCTATTTGCTGTTGCCTCTCGTCCTGAACATAAAGTACAACTCATATATATATATCAGCGATATATATCCTTAGCTGTGTTTATCATATATGTTACGTGTAGAAATACATTAGACATTACCTACGAGTAGTGTGTATGCGTATGGGTAATATAGGTATGTATTTATATGCAACATCCAACTGTCGTCTGAGTATTCTCTTTTTGGTTTTTGTTTGGAATTCGCTGATTATATGCATGGCCATGATTTACGTTTACATTCAATGTGTGCACGTGTCTCTGTGTGTGTGTGAGTGTGTGTGTGCTGTGATTTGTTTTGTTTCGTGTATGAGAATGGTTTGGTGTGACTCGCTGCTGCTTCTGCTGCTGCTGCTTCTGCTTCTTCTTCCTTCCGGTTCCGCTTACAGCAGTAAATTTTCTAAATGCGCTGCATACTCATCGGCCGTCCGGAACTCCAGACTTTCGCTCTCACCGTGACTGCGACTGTTGCTATAGCTGTAAATTTACACATCGAGAAAAATATTATATTACCTATATAGTGAAAAAAATATATAGTTGGGTATTTATGCTAGCCATGATTTAATTGGTACAATTATATACATTTCATTCAAATCGTGAAGTAAAATTCAACAGCTACCCCATTTTTTTATATTTAATATACGGTTGATTATTTCGGTAGCCAAAATTTAATCGGTTAAATTAAACAGATACATCCAACATCTACTCACATTTTTAACAAAAAAAAGATTTTTAACCTTAATTGTAATACTTCAATTAATTATTGTACTGCGTTCTTTTAAAAGCCTTAATTCTTTGTTTTCAAATAAGTATAAACCTGATCAAATTTAATTTTTAGCTTAAAAATTAAAGGCCACCACTTGATTTGAAAAATACTCAATTTAAAAGTATATTAAGAATATGTACCAAATTCCTAATGGAATATTTTCTAGCTGTGTAGTGTTTTGCGACCACAAAGGTAATGAGTAAAGTTGGCGAGTAATAAAACGTTAATGCCAAATCAATAGGACACGTGTCGTTGTTGTATTACCTGTTTTCGGAGAGTTCCCGCTTCTTGCGCTTTCGATCCTGCGAAAGGGCCTCCACGCACAGGATGATCAGCTTGCTGTCGCAGGACTGTCGCTTCTGTTCGAGCAGCTTGTGGCCATCGAGATTGCTGGCATACCCGGACTTCAGGTGGTCACCGGAATGCCAGGCATCGCAATACGTGTCCATGGAACGCTCTCCATTTGGCAGCGAACCATGCCAGACCATCTTCATGGGCCTAAGAATAACATTAATTTTATATCCTATTTTATTAGATTTAAATGGGATTTATAGAGAGCTTACCACAAGGGATCCGTCATCACGTTCTTGCCGCTGAAACTGTAGATTCGCGGCGCTTGGGAGAAGAACCCGCCTTGGCCGTTGAAAATGCCCTTCCAGGAGTTGAAGAGCACATCGCCACGGGTGTTCACCACGGGCAGATCCCGGTCAGCCGGACGGACAATCGTGTCCAGATTCTGTACCCTGCAGGCCACCAAGAGTTAAGCATTTCGTTAACGTACAAATTATATTGCCAGCATACGAGCGCCAATTACACGCGCACAAACAAACCGCCATCAAAAGATGTCTGAAGGGCAGGTGCTGCGTGCCAGCTCTTTGTTCGTTCACTTATTTATGTTTTCACCTCCCCAGAAACCCCCAAAGCCCCCGAAAACCAAAACTCCCCGAACTCGAGACCTCGTTGCCGGAGCACTGGGTAAATAAATTGCACGAAATTGTTTTCACAAGCTTTTGTTTTCATACTTCGAGCGCGCGCTTTTTTCCGCTTTCGCTTCGCTTCAAATATCAAGATTATGCGGCAACTAATGAGTTCCCAAAGTGTCGGCTCAGCCCGGCAACGTGGCGTATGAGCAACGCGCGGAGTATTGAAGCGGCAAATACGCTGGTCTGGATTTGCGCAAAATCTTAATAGCCTGAACCCCGAGAAAAAAACTAAACAGGAAAACAGGCCTAATACGCGTGAAAAATCTAAAGAATGATAAGACACATTCGCCAGTTCTTGTTGGGTAACTCACCTGGATGAGAGGAATGCCTTGAAGGTGCCCAGGAGTCCTGCCCGTCGTCCTTGCCGATAGCAGGCGAAGTCCGCCCCCGAATCCCCTGCAAATCGCCGGTGGAAGGCTCGTTCAACGCCGCAACGCGTAGCTATTCCGGATCCAAGAAAATATGGCATGAAATTAATGCGGAATTTATGTCAAGCATTTTAAGATCTAATTAATACAGAATTTAATAGCCAGAAATTGTTTGTTTAACAAAGGTCCTGCGTTGGATGGGAAACGGGAACCAGAAACAAGAACGAGCAAAGCCCGCGGGGAATGTAGCGCAAAATGATAGGTGGGAGTAATGGATAGTAAAATATTTCAAATAATTGCTGGGGCCCCGGAGAAACAATAACAAAAAATATGCTGAAACCCACTTCAGCGGGGGCAAAAAAAAAAGCACTCATAAAATTGCCGGTTTGTAGAAAGGAACTCAAAGGTCGGATCTAGCTTAATTGAAATACAGGGAACAGAGGACTCACCATTCGCGGATACCACTGGAAATGCGATTTAAATTGAATTTTTTTTTTTTTTTTTTTGTCAATTCCGTTAATTTTGTTTGAAGACGCAGCAGTAAGATGTGGGACGAAAATATTTTTCATTTAATAAATCCAAATGGAAATTCTGAGCATTCTAACACCGACACATATATATATAAATTTATATAAAAAGAAGCTCTCAACATTCTCGACTTTCGTGTCGGATGCGAAATGTTGAGAGCAAAGCTTCATGGATTACCCAAAGCAAAGACAAAATTCAATCAAGAAGCGTCTAGTAAAATAGCAAATCACACAGAAAAACACACAGAAAGCAATGGAATTAAAAATATAACTTATTTAAATACAAAAATATATGGAGTTTCCATTGGCTCAACAAAAACCGACAATCGGTAGAGACAAAAGCAGAAAATCAAACTACACCAATTGTTCCGTGTACAACAGCAGAACTTCAAATGCAATTTTCGCTAATTAGAAATATTTCCATTGGCCAGCAAACAAAATCAAATTATTTATTCAACGAGTGTGTGTGCAAGAATCGTTGGCTGATTTAAATTCTCCCGTTGGTTTTGTTATATTTTTTTTTAGTCGACACTAGGATATGCAATATTATGGATTTAATTACCGTTTCGTATTCGGGCGCGGTTGTAAACTGCATTTAACGACAATTAATTATAAATAAGTTTAGTAGGTTATATCGATAACATTTGCTTCAGTTCGTTACACTGAGTATTAATTATGAAATTAGGAACAAGTAGTGTGTGTGTTTGTGGTGTAGTTTTGTTGCTTGTCTTGGATATTTGAACATTACAGTGGTAGTTCGATATGAGAGCAGGAAAGTCATCGATTACATAAAAATTATGTTTTTACGAGTACTTTTTTGGCTTAATTTAAATCATGGAGAACATTTCTTTGACTGAATTATTAACCATATTTTTTTATCGATAATTTGCCAGCTCTTTTCGAGTTGTAGTAGTAATTGTTAGATACTGCCGGCGGGAAATGACAGCCAGGCGAAACATCAGCGTCAGAGCTTTGCGCTTTATACATAAATATTTCATTTCGAACTCATCAAAGTCGAGTACAATCAAAGCACACAAAGGAAATCGCAACTAGGACTTCTGATTTCCATTCGAAGGGCTCTGTATTTTCGCCGGCATTCAGTATCAATGTCATTATCCCGCCGACGGAAGCGAGTAGATGTGGAAAACATAATGTGCGGAAAAAATAACAGCGATGGATGTGGATGCAAACATCACTCACCGTTGGCGTGTTGAGCAGTGGAGGTGGACTGTTGAGCAGGTTCTTCGACTGCAGGTCGAATCGCATCGATGGAGCCACCGTGGTGGGCGGAGCGGGCGTGGCAATCGGGACCAGGGTTCCCAGCTGCGAACAGATAACACACAAAGGAGAATTAAATGCGAAATCGTAATTAAAAGGCGCGGCGACAAACAAGCGTTTGACGAATTCGTAATTAATAAAACAAGAGCTCTCCGCAAATAAATATGTATGGAGGTATATATAGTATGTATGTGTTCTCGGCAGATCCTTTCAAGTAGTTAATATTTCAGGAGGAGCGAAAGGCAAACAGTTGAGCTCTCCTGCTGAAACTGAAATCAACGTTGTATTGAAACTTTTGCTCAAATATTTGCATTACGTGTAGCAAAATATGTATCAACTGTCCCGGTCGCAGTTAAGGTTCCATTCCAATCCCACTTCTCAGTCGAAACGAAAATCCCGCTCAAAACTCCTTGCAGGCACGGCACTGTATTAGGGTCAAATTTTCGACAGCCATAATGCGCGACGTCGTCTGACAAAAGTTTTAATTACTATTTTGAACTTTAAGTAGTCGACTCGTGTACTGAAATCTAATTAGGCTTGCGACTCGGCTCCCATCTCGGTATCTCGGCAGACAGCTGTGTGTTTCGCCCAGACGAATGCGAAATGCAAATGGGGACCCGAGTACACTGTGCAAAATTTTTAAATTGTAAAGAACACTTTGTTCACTTTATGAAAAAAAATTAAAAATTTATTGACCCTTACTGTATTCAATTTTATTTAAATGTATTTCTTTAAAAAAAAATATTTTTTAATAATATCTTCAAAAAACTTAAAATTTCATTGTCATGATGAACAATGACTTTTACTTACTCCACATAAAAATAATTATTTTTCTTGGATATTTTTCTTGTGCTGTGAAACCCAATATAAATTCACATCAAACGAAGGATTAAAAAATATAAAAAATATTTTACCGTGTAGGCAACTTCGTGACTCCCCGACCTAACCAGATTTCGCCAACAAAGGGTCCCTTGCTTTGGCCCGATTTTGCCATATTATTCGGCACACCCTGACAGTTCATGGTCCTGTGCCGGGTTTTTGTTGTCAAAAGTATTTAAATGGCGCCGTCAAAGGCAAGAGATTTCGTTTTCATTCCGGACTGCCTCATGCACATGCCAGTTGCCAGTTGCCAGGAGCGAAGAGCATGGAGCCAGGATCCAAAAGCCAGGAGCTCGAAGCCTGTGCCACGCCCCCAAAGCCATGGGGCGAAACCCTGTTGTGCCTGCTTTTGTGCCCTGCAACAACGGAAGCGGAAATCGAATCTCGAGCAGTTTTTTGCCACTCCCCGAAATTTTGAGAATATTGTACACTTCGGCACTATGTAGTTTCTCCTGCCTTTCACTCCTGCCTTTCATTTTCAATTTTTTTGATGATTTCAATAAAGCAACAAGCTGGCGAAATTGCGGCCACTTTAATGTTTAACAACCTATTGAGTAATCGACCAATTCTGCGTGTAATTTCGCTAACTTCAGAGGACTCCACAAAATGCTGACCCGCACAAATTGCCGGGCAGAAAATCGGGTAATAAAAGGCTCCCACTCGCCCAAAGTTCACCTTGGTCGAGATTAATTGGCATGTGGCAGAGGCGAATTTCGGCATTTCAGGGGAAAGGACAATAAAACCTTCGATTTCCGTTTAATATTATTTTTAATCTGCCAAAGGAATTTATGGCTCCAAGGAGGGTCCTACCCACTGCCTACTTATGACCCCCGCAGATCGGACGGATGCATGTTTTATATATGTTTCATCAATAAATGTTTTGAGCCTCTGACTACTGACAGCCTCACTCAAATTGCCTGCCACATGCCACATGTCCCACTGTATCCCCAGTATCTCTTGTATCCGTTAACCGGGACAAGTGAAAAGCCAAGCGCAAGTCAATATAATTGAATAACGCAGATATATCCACACACCCACACACACACTTATACACACACACACAAGTGACGGATGGCAATCCAATGGCAATCAGTCTGTACGTCTGCAACATTTAATGTGCAAATAAAAAACGAGTCGATACAAGGGCAATGCCAAACAAACCTTACTTTATGGCAGGCAAGAAAAATAAATAAATAAATAAGGCGAGCAGAAGACAAACACGGGATACTGTCCTTTCTATTTTTGCATGCATTTGTCTCTTCGTTGGCTCCTATTTTTTCTTTTTTTTGTTCTTTTTTTTATTCACTGCAAAGGGGCTTATGGCCATAATGGAACAACGAACGAGGGAGCGGGATCTATAAAATAATAACCGCCCGCCAGCGAGCTCAACGCCTGTCATATTTGGCATTTTAAAAAGTGCTACCCGAAAAGACCCTGTTTGTTTGCTTAGGAGCAAGAAATCAAATCCTGTCCCCCTCCCTCCCCCCCTCAAGTTTGGCTAAAAGTAGAGGGGATTTGGGCCAAAACTCACCGCAATGTACTGCCATCCCTTGTTGACGCGAACCAAAAGCGCCTCCTCCTCGGTGATGTAGGCCAACGTGCCCGGCGGATTGAGGGCCGATTTCTGCGGTGGAAATATCATCGAAAGAGTTTTTTTTTTTTATTAAAAATACATGGCAGTTGCCAAATTTAACCAATCGACACCCACTTTTGTCATTTCATCGATGTTCTGGAAGGTTACTGCTCCCGGCACAATCTTCATGTTCATATTGGATGAGGAGGCCGAGAAGTAGGGCTCCTCGCCCTCGACGTGGCTCTCATCGTGTTTGTGCGAGTGTCCCGACTGGCGTGGCGGCTCTGAAAGGATAATTCATGCATTATGACACATGATTCCGATATCCTGCATTCATTTAAATGCGGACTTTCCAAGTGCTACGCCACAACAGTGAATAAAGCTTTATTTATAACTTTCTGTGTGTGCTTCGAGTTTTTTTTAATGGTTGGAAAATCTTTCAAAATAAATAATGCAAGAGCTTAAGTTTAAATTTACAGGTAATACTTTCAAAGTATTTAAGTAGTTGGAGTTCAACTTTGTAGTCTTCATGCAATTACTAATTTAAATTATTAATTTTCACTGTTGAATTTTAATTTCGTTTTTCATAGTTTGAACAACTTTAGGGGAAACATTTGCTTATACAGAATCAAAGTTGATAATTGTATTTCAAATTTATTTTTAGGTTTTTTTAAGTACCTTAAAATACTTCATGCTACAAGAAGTGTATGATACTTGGTAATGAAAAACTTGTTATTATGCTTATTATTTTATTTTATAGAAAAAAACGTATAAATAAGTCCAAGTATTTTTAACAAATAACTAAAATAACTTCTACTCTTCATAATTACTTATGTCTGCATACGCCAAAAAGTGTGTTTTAATACTTCATCATTCCCCCCATTTAAACTGACTGAAGGAGTCAAATACTCGCATTTTAGGTAACTAAAATACCATGAGTCGCGGGTTTGAGTTCTTTTTCGGCTGAGAAAAGTCATGACGGTGTGAAAATACGCGCATAAAGAAAATGTTTACACGTTGTACTCTATCAACGGCAAATGAGTTAATGATGATGTGCAAATATGGCCATTAAAGGTGCTAGTTCATGAATGGTAAGGTGTGTGTATATATGAGGGCATGCCAGGTGGAAATTGGGGAAGGAAAGGTGTGCTGAGGACTGGAGGCAATTAGCTGGTTCAACGGTGGGTCATGCGAGCATTCCATAAAAAGCTACGGCTAATATGATGGATGGAGTTGAGATTGTAGGTTTTTAGTTTGGTTTAGTTCGATTACCGGCTGTGCCATCGGGACGATCGCGCAGATCTTGAAGCTCTCGCAGGGCTTTGAGTTCGTCTAAGGATGAGCGCGCTCCTTGATGACGAGTACGATACAAATGACATGGATTGATATTGGTTGGATAAGTTAGGTTCGTTTTGTTTGGCTCTTGGCCAAGGATAATGCTAGCTATGTACAGATATTTGACCACTAACTAAGCTCACACTTCACATATTTACAACATGTTTAAGCCATATTCTTTGGGTTTAACTTACCTGGTCTTCCATAATAGGAGGCATCACCAAAGAACGTGCTGCGTGAGTCCATTCCGGGTTCTCCTTTGGGTCCTGAAATCGATAGGCCAGGTAGACCTGGGGGTCCTGGAGGTCCTGGCGGTCCTGCCGGTCCTGGCATAGCTATGTACTGCACTCCGCTGCTGTCGCCATCGCCACCTCCAGTGGCTGGAAGTCCAGGAGGTCCTGGCAAGCCATCCCTGCCATCCTGACCTCGGTCGCCTTTATCGCCCTTCAACTGCAAACAAGATACACCCGTCAATACAACCGGAAACCCTTCGGTGATCCATCAACATTCTGTCGTCGAACGGGGCGTATACTTGACATTGACTTTTGGCACTTACCCCCTCGCGGCCTCCGGAATCGCCTTTCGGTCCCTTGGGACCCATCTCACCCTTTGGTCCTGTCATTCCAGGGCGGCCCTGTGAAGCAATTAAATTACAACCTGTTATTATCATTAAGTCGAGGAGTTTGAGTAGTTAATATGACGATTAATATGTCAGATCTTTGACTTAATAAGCCATTAATCATTATTGATTGTGCAGCAGCTATTTCTTCAATTAATCAACGTGTTGCCTTTTTCCAGCTTTAAGTTTAATTATTTAAATGGAGTGCTTTATATCTACTAAATAGCAAAGTCACGTAGCAAAGTTTGCAGATGGCCAGCATTCTCCCATTCGTAAGTGCTAAAGTTGAGAGCAAATTATAAGATCATTGGCAGCAAAAGCCGGCAGAAAACAGCCACATGAATGCCTCGTGAGGAGCGTGCAAGTTGGCCAGAATGCAGTTTGCAGTTCGCTGGCAAAATCGGAGCAACGAGGCAACTTGAACTATGACCAAAAACGAGCAAACTTTTGCCGTTTCGAAGTGCAACAATTCCTCTACTCGAGTCGCAACGTTTTTGTCTCTCCACTCTACTCGTTCCGGCAATTGAGCCAAAGTTCCGGGTCGCATTCTACCACTGCCAGCTCATGTAATTACGTTGCTTGATTTTGATTTCGGGCGGTAAACGATGCCAGTTGGCACAGAATGCCAAAGGACATCGCGGCGGAGTAGCGCAGCACACGCGCCTGCCTCTCACAATTCAGTGACTCAGTGATTCCGTGGCAAAGGGAAAGTTTCCTTCGCACTCCTCGCTGCCATTGCCATTGCTTAGCTGTTGTTATTGCGAAATAATGTTGCAAATTCTGGCCAAACTGCAATTGGAATCGTGCGATGCGCCGACTGCCGCGTCCTGAATAACCGTGATGAAAATGCACTTAAAATACTTTTCGTTTGAGTTTATTCCGCTGCTCTGGTTCTTTTTTTTCTTTTTTTTTTGTAGTTGCTGTTCCCTTTCTGTGTCTGAACCTCTTTCGAGTGCCCTGATTGTCTAGATCGCGAATGCGGCCAGAAAATGTCTGTTTGTCTCCGAACTTTTCCGGCAGCGACAACAATGGAGCCTAAATCATGGACGTAGTAAGCGAAAATAATCCTAAGCTCGATTATCCAAGCAAACAAGGTTGAGTTTTAAAAAAGTTTTACAAGATTAATATAAACTTCTATAAACTACTACTAGAAATTTTTGACTAAAATCTTTAAGACGACCAGCAAGTTTTGGGGATAGTTTAACAATATCAGACAAATATAAGTATTATAAAATTTACTTTGAAAGGCATTTTATTCATGATGTTTTTTTCTGGCATGTATTCGTTCTGGTTTAAGTAGTCTTTATTATACTTTTTATAACTTTGCAGAAGGTTGATTTTTTGACCCTGTTTTGACCCTGTCAGAAATCCCAAAAATTACTTTTTTTGAAAAATGACCCAAAACCAGCACTTCAAAGCCCAAAGCTTCCGTAATTCAAGTTGTCACATTGTCTCCTAAGAAACTGCATTATTATTATTATTATTATTATTTTTTACATTTTTATAAAAATACTACAAAGTGGCTTTTTGTTAAATGGCGTTAAGAATTTAAAACAGCCTATAACTTTTCTTAATGATGTCTGATCTTGGATTCGTATACCTCAAAGAAATGAAAATTATGTTTGTTATCATTATAGAACCCTATCCTTGTTTGACTGTTAAAACCACATTTTTCCTATCGCACAACCCGCAATCTGGCCCCTTCAAGTGATTTCGACTACGCTTCTGGCCAGAAGGGCTGAAAGCATGTGAAAGTTGGTCCAACTCATGAATATGCATGCAAAAGTTGCGAGTGGCCGAGTGGCGACTTTGCCTCTTACTTACCGAGTGTCCAATATCGCCCATGGCTCCGGGTTTTCCTGGCGGTCCGATTGGTCCAGTGGCCCCAGTCCCGCCGCGCCTTCCCCGCATACCCTTCTCACCCTTCTCGCCCTTGGTCCCGTTGGCGGAGAGCCCCTCGAGTCCGCCGGGCTGTCCGGCCTGTCCGGGGAGACCCGGCAACCCAGGAGTTCCCGGTTCGCCGGGCTCGCCCTTTGCGCCGCTGGGTCCGTGTGCACCTTTGTGACCCTGTTGTTGTTGTCGGTGGAAAAATGGCAAGATGGTAAGATGGCGAGAAAGGAGCGAAAGCGAGTGTGTGAAATGATTTACGGTCTCAAATATACGGCTACATGTGCCCCAAAAGGAAAACTGGGAGGGGGATTCAGGGGGGCATTGGATTGGTGAGGGAATTTCGGGGGAACTCTCTTGCCTAATTTGGCCGTAAAACTCAATTTCAAACGTTTTGTCGACGACAGAAAAAATTCAATTCAAACTCATTTTGAAATCAAATCAATTCCGAAATCCCGCACACGCACACATACACTAACGCACACTTACACACACAGTTATTTATGCAATGGCTGGGCGACAAGCCCGAAAACACAAAACCATATTCCTTTTTGGGGTCCTTTGCCTTTGTGGAAAATTTGCTCTCTTCCTTCTCGGCTGAACTCAATTCATTCCCAGCGTCGTCGTCGTCGTCTTCCACATCATCAGCGCCTTAAATGGTTCGCCATAAATTCGCACGCTCGATGTTGGTTAAATCCGGAGGCTGGGAAATCAAGCTGGGTTATCCTGCTGCTGCTGCTTTCACTTGGGCTTACTGTTTCGGGCTTGTTGCGAACGCCAACTTAATACCAACTAATGAATAATTAATAAGGCAACACACACACTCATACACAGTTGACTGCTCCGCAGGCTGTCTTTCAAGATCCCCGGCTTGCGTCTGTTTTTTAGGCCTAATGAAACGTACCTAATTGTGCGTGTATTCATACGTTTAAAATGCTAATTTCCATATTAGTTTCCCCCCCGGAAAATCGTAATGCAATAACTTTGGCTGGCTGGATATACTCGTACCTATATGATGGCGTCTCCCTGACAAATTGGGCGTGAATTTATCATAAAATCCCAATCGATTTTTTTTTCATCATAATGTGTGTGTGTGTGTGTGGTGTGCGCTTCGTCGACGGCGGCTGTTTGCATAATTTCTTTTTATTTCACGCACGATTAATTTTGGGTGTGGCCACCGGGGGAAAAACTACTTAAAAGCGACCTTGTTACGCCAGATTCCTTGGCCACAAGCCGCATAAATATTACTTATGTATATCAAAGGTCGTGTCGGTGTCTTTATGGGGCCCAATTTGGCTCCTGTTCCCGAGGAGTAATCTGCGACACCGGAAGCCCTCCTCGTCCACGTGAGAAAGAGACCAAACCCAACCTAACCGGCCACATCATTTCGACAGCCGAAAGCCAAAGCCTGGCCGAAAAACCAACAAACAAACAGACTAACAACAAGCACATTATGCGAGTCCTGCTTGCCAGATTTAAGTTTTGAGGTTGCACATAAAAGAAATACGAAGGGGGGATCCCTTTTTCAGGATCCTTCTCCCTTTTTTTTGGAAGTCCGAGGGTGCAAAGCCACCCCAACTAAGCTGCTAAATGGCATACAGGGTAATGGCTGGGAAGTAAGCGGCGTCTAAGCAGGATGAGCTCCCCAAATGGCCAAAACTTATTATGAACGTAATGCCAAAACGAGAGAAGTGAAAAGAAACGAAACGAAATAGTTTATGTTGGTTGGTTGGGACAGACAGCCCCTCAGTCTCAGCTTGCGATCATATCCACTGAAAATCAAATGAGCTATAAATGCACACAAATTGGCCCCCGAACCAGACGAGAAATCAGGAGACATCGACATCGACATCGTCTCAAGTGACGCATTTGGGGCCAACTGCTGATAGAAATTTATGTCCCAAATTGTGTATTTCCTGCACAAATGACTGCGATGCTATAAATATGAAAGCGGTGGGAGGGAGCTCAGCTGGAGACCCAAAAGAATTATTACTATCTATCAAATTGGGTACAATTTCGCTTCAACTCAAAGAAATAACGTGGGAGTTGGGGATTTATCCTTTCACGGGGTTAATAGCCTGGAATTTATTCCTCAGATATTTATTTTCAACGAGCTATTTATTTTGGGAGCTATAATTTGGTAGAAAATTACTGATAAATTGATTTAAAACTTTCTTTTCATTCATAGAATATATTATCTTTTATTTTTTGGCCATTTAGTATTTTAATATTTTTTTTAAAGGTTTTAAAGATTTCGTATAATTAGACTTTAGATAATTTTATCCAAAATAATCCACTTTTATTACTCTTCGATCCAATATGCTATTTACCGCATTTTCAAATGGCTTTTCAGGGTTTTCTAAAACATAGATACCATATTGTAATTGCTTTTGTCGGAACACCACAGTCAAATCGATAATCAGCACACATTACTATATCATAAATGCAAACCTCAACCGTTTTGGCCCGAAATGCCCTGCCGAAAACGATTATTATCCAGACCAAAAACAAATTTTCGTCGCCGCCTGTTTGCTCATTTGGACGAAAAGCGACGAGCTGCTTGGCCCGATTGCCCTTTTAAGAAGCCTCAAAATCAATTGAGTAGTCAATAGGGCAGAAGTTATTATATATTTGAAACAACAATCGTGTGGGCCCGAGAAACACTTTATAATGCACACACACACACACATCACATACAACCACGCATTTCAGGGATAAACTGGGGAAAGGGAAAGCAGTGGGAAAGTGAGGAAAACCCTGGCCATTTATTAGACATGCCCTCTGACTTACCGGATCGCCACGCTCTCCTTTCTGGCCGGCATCACCTTTCTCGCCGGGAACACCTTTGGCCCCCGGTTGCGTTGTGCCCCGGAATGTGCCCATCGAGTTGACCATTAGGGATTCCTGTGTGTAGGCATAGTAATTTGTTAAATATTTGCTTGTTGTACAATTTATTTTCGATACATGTATTTCGCTGCCCCATTTCTCTGATCATTTTTTCTCTTTTTTTTTTGTAGGCAGCAGGCGGCCCTTTTTGACGAGGGACAAATGCAACAAACACACGGCGGAAATTTGATTAATGATCTTTTTTTTTTTTTTGGTGGACCGCCCACTCAGATTTCGGGGCGGGGCTAATGATGGCAAGTGGTTCTAGTCCATTAAAGGCTGTGTGTGGCCATCGCTTACCCCCGGCAAAGCAAACCTTTTGCGTTTTGTTTTTAGTTAAGTGGTTGTAGGTGGAACGAACATAAGATGAAATTGTTAAAATGTTTATACCTTGAAGGTCCTGGTTGGATTCCAATTTATCTGTTATTTATGTGTTGATTGTTACAAGAATACATAATTTTCGATACGATATACGTTTAACAATAATATAGAGCAATGGGCGTGAAATTGAAGCGTATTAGTATATGATTTCACTGGTTAAAAATCAGAAAACTTTTCAAAATTGCAACTTTTACGGGGGAGCACTCGAGTGTAGGTAATTAAATTTCTGAATAGAAGATCTGAAAACGAGGAGGTCGTGTCAACAATCAAAAGCCGTTCTAATAAACATAAAAGCATTTCCCTTTTAAAGACTCAAATTGCTCGGGTCTTCAAACCCATTTCATACCCTTCAAATTATGGGGTTAAAAATTATAAATTTAATGCTTCAATATTTTTTGAGTACTTTCCATTGACAATCTGTGGGCAACCCTTCCTTTTTTTCGGATTTCTATTATACTATTGTATGCCCGAATCGAAACCCATTTGTTTAACAGCCGGGAGCTTCCTAGCCAAATGTCCTGGCTCCGCCCAATGCACAGGATAACAAAGAGGGTACGACACCCAGAGAAAGCTTTTAAAAGGCACCAGCTTTGGGGGCGATGATAATGATGATAAACCCGCCGACATTAAACAATGGGAGGCGGGCCGACAGGCGAGTGGCTGTCTGATTTTTACTGCCGCCTCGTCGACCACAAGTAGCTTGACACTTTCATAAACGTAATAGTGCGATAATGATTACAACCCACCCACGCCCACTCCTTTCCACAAATACATTTAGACGGGAAGCGGGCAACACACGGTGTTGAAATGCGGTGATAAAGCCGAGCGGCAAAAAGAAAAGTTTCGCTCCTGCATGAAAGGGTTCAAAGTGGCAACGGTGCGGATGAAAGCGGAGTGATGTGTTTTTCAGCTCGCCTTTGTGTGGGTGACTGCTCCCTGTACAGTGTTCCCTGCTCCCTGTTCCCTGTTCACTGTTCCCCTTCACTGTTCCCCCTTCTCTGTTCCCTGTTCCTGCTATCAGTATCTGTGTGCGTGTTACCGCATTTAACCGCGTGAACTGCGCGCCCTGCGCTGATAACGGTAATTGCCACCAGCTGGAACACCGCCATCTACATTGCCATGTGGCATGCGGCAGGCGGCACCCCGAATACAGGACTCCTCAAAACTGAGCCCATGCCAAGCGAAAGGACTATACTCAAGTCTACAGCTGCACTGAGATTTATTCAATTTATATACTACTCGTGTGAATGGTAATTCAAATTTTGAAGAAAAAAAAAAAAATATTTAACTGCTCATTAAAATAAAAATTTTAATATAAAACAAGAATAAAAGTTTCCTTCAATTAAGTGAAAAAATAACATTTATTTCGGTTTTTAAACATAGTTTAAAATATTTATGTACAAGTAAAGCTTTTAAAAGAAATGATTATTAACCCAAAAATTGAAAAAACTCATTTACACTTTCATGTTTACTACAATATCTTTTTCTCCGGAAATTTCTCATGTAATTCCTGAATAGTTGACTTTTTAAATTACTAATGCGAGTCGTAGGCTCACAATTCCAAAGCACTGTATTCTAGTTATTAGTCCTTACATTGTAAGATAGGCTGTTACATGGAAAAATTACTAGCTTCCTATACAAGTTAATTTTTTGCCTGTGTAGACTCCACTTGACTTCAAAGTCGACACGACGACTCCACTCAAATTTGGGTTATTCCTGGCGGCTCGCGTGCTCAAGACGCTTACGTTTTGGCCCTTTCGCCAGGAGATGTTTCCGTGGAACCTTTGCGGTTTTAAGATTATTAGCAGAGATAGGCCATTTGTGGCATTCGCGACAACGACAATGGTGGCCACTGAACGTGCCTGCTCCCGCCAGACTCTGCCACTCTTCCACCGAATAGAGGAATCTGGAGCTGGCGTGACGCCACGAATCCTCCAGGGTGGCAATTTTTCACAGTTACTGCGCGAGCCAGGAAGGAAATTAGTTTAGGCAAATTGTGCGGCGTGTAAAACACGACGGACGTTTACCTCGGTCAGTTGCAATTCATAAAGATGTGCGTGATTGAAAAAAACAGACGGAGGAGAAGGACGCGGAAGGATACAGGACCAGACATCGGACAACTGCATTAGCCTCCACTCCTATATTTATCCTGTGTAAAAGGTGCAATTTTGATCGAAAGAAAACGCAAAACGAAGTATGGAAAATAAAAAAAAAAATCTTCGATTATCCGAAGAAAAAATACCTTTGCTCTGTATAAAAATAGTTACGTAGTGATTGTCAACAAAAATATTTAAAAACTATTAAGAACATATTTTTATAAGAGAAAAGGTTTTAAATTCTTAAGATTAAAAATATTACATAAATTCTTAATTCAACCTTAAAGCTCTGATCGTTCCAAATAACTTTTTTAGTAATTTTGTGGAGTTAATACTTATTAAAATATTGCTGTCTTTAATTTAAATATATATTTTGGGACTCTAATGAATGAAGAAGACTCGAAGATTCCATTTAACTTTAATTTAAAGCTAAGCTGATCCAGTGAATTGTAATAATTGAAAACAGGCATTTTCACCATTAATGAGCATTGTGAATAATTAAACAATCAATAAATTAAACAAAAGCCAATTCAGTTTAGAATTTCACAAATACTTAACTTGCATTCTGATTGGTATTCATAGTAAATTCTTTTTATATTTTACGGAATAACTAAATAAAAAAAATAGCAAAACTGACTTTGTAATGCAGCAGAATAATAATGTTTTGATAGAGGAGAATGCAGAATAATAATGTTTTGATATAGAGGAGAAATCTGGAAGCAATTTATATTGATTTCAATTTCAACTTTGACCTAATTTAAACCCTTGAGCCATAAACTTGTTGCAATAAAGTTAAGCATTTTGCATGCTGCAATTATTTAATAATTTAAATCCTATAATCTCCACATAAAACCCTCAGTGCACTTTAGCACGTAGTAATGAATTCTTTGTGCAAATACGTAATTTAGCTTACAAATTTGTATATATAAATTGAAATAGGTTTTATTTTGGGAGGAGGAATAATACTTACATCGTAATTCTCGGGCAAACCAGGCGGACCCGGCGGTCCCGGCGGACCCATGACTCCGGGCAGTCCGTCGACGCCTGGCTCGCCCTTCAGCCCCTGGGCACCTTCGGACCCCCGGGCGCCTCTGGCTCCTGGCACTCCGGTGGCTCCCTGGATAAATGTTAACGGAAACGAGACGGAATAGAGAGGGGATAGAGGGGGGATTGAAAAGGAGGAGGGAGGGGGTAGAGGTGAGGGGGTCGCCAGCAGCGACAGAGAAATAAATCACATTAGTGGGCGTGCATACAACGTGTCCTGCGTCCTTAGAGCTACAAATCTACGTCTACATGGCAAGTTCTACACGGTCTGCTAGCTGAATATTTTGTGGGGGGTTTCCTCATTCGAGGTCTGGGGTTCCTAACTGGCTGCGGTCGATTTACATAATCGTTGCGTTTTAGTCCGAGCTCATTAATCTACGCGGCTGGCATGTGGTTCGGTTTGGTCTTCGGTTTTTCGGTTCTCAGGACCTCTGGGATTGGATTTGAACTCGATTTTGGGATTGCGGAGGGGGGTTAGCTTTTCGGGCCTTCGACATTCCAATGGGCATGGCATGGATGGGTAAGCCCCACAAAAAATGTGTCTTCCGATGTTCTTAATCTTATGCAAAATGGTCACGCTGTGAGCCATTTGCGTGCCATGTCCTTGTTGCTGGCCAACTGTGTAGTCGTGTAGCTCGTGTAGCTGTTGCTTATCGCCGTCCTTTAAATTAATTGCCATTAGTTAAGGGATTAGCAGTGGGCCAACAAAGTTGTCGCTGGAATTTCCGGTATGCGCGCCAGCTTGCCATATTTCACCGGGGCAGCAAAGGCTTTTTGATGGAGGAGGAGGATGGGCATAAGCATTGCGGGTTTTAGAGGATTTTCGGGGGAGGGAGGAAAGGGTCATTCAGCAGGCCGAAGAGGATTTTGTGGGTCGTCGGAATTGGGCTGGCATATTTCCCTAGCTGGGTGAAAAGCTAGCTGCTGCTGGCAGTGGACCGCAGAATGCCCGGCATACCGCTTTCCTTTTGATGTATTGCATCGCATTGAGGAGGCTGCGTTCCACAGGTTGCTGGAGTGGCCCAGAAAAATCCGAGAGAGAGAGATTGAATGGAGGACACGACGACGACGACGACGACGGCTTTAGAAGTTTCCGTCTGTCTTTGGCCTGCTTTCGCTTTTTGAATAATTCCCAGAGTAATGGACATGCATTCATCGTTTTGTGCTATACTTTCGGTTAGCTGCTCAAAGTTTTTTTTTTCTATTTTTTTTTTTTTTTAGCCCTATTGCGTGATAAGCACTTAAGTGAGTCGAGTAGCCGAGAGGAGAAAAAGAAGAGAGGAGTTCGTAACATTGTGGACTTTGCCTTTGACCCGCAGTCACACACACACTCACTAGAAATGGAGTAAATGGCAAGTACGTAGTCAAGTGAAGTTCAACACATGGAAACGGAGACATCCTTTGTGTGTTTCCACAGCGAACTCTTATGGTTGCCAAAGACGTTACCAGTTGATGAGATAATATAACGACTAGCACCCGAGGAGTGGATAAGTGTTTAAGCGTGAGCTGGCGCATAAAGAAATTCTCTTTACGATTCGCTTCCATTTTCTCCTTTTCCTCATCTTCTTAGTGTGCGTGTGTGTGTGCGTTAACGTTTTTTCCATTTCCGGTTACACGCACACACTTACACTGCAGTGCAAATTATGATGTTTGACATAGGAAAACATGCAACCCCCTTTGGAGATCCCCTGCCTCATCCTCCTTCGAGCCACTCTTCACTCTTCGAGATTAGACGATGTGTGTAATGAAATTGAAAATGTGTTAGATTCATGTCAAATATTGCCTTTTTGCCAACCCGTTGTAACTCGGAATTGCCGTGCACACAGATAAGCCCGTCGAACGGAAGAAAAACACGGAGGAAAGTTCCGCATCAGCCATCGAAGTCCTAAGTACCTTTCTGTTTGATTATATGGTCCGACGAAGCCTGAGTGTTTCTAGTATACGACTTATTGACAAAAATAGAACTGAAATCTCTTTCCCTACAATCAGTATGTGAGCTATAATCTAGTTTCCTGATAGCTTCTATATTTCAATAATAACAGTACGTTCTGCATACTTATTCATGTTAAACAGTAGTAATACAGTTCTTCCTTGAGTTAATTATACTAATGAATGCTCAAATATAATTACACATATGTATAACCCTTTTGAAATTAATCTCTGTCTAAATATTGAATGTAAATAAATTGAAAGCCTATCCTAAATTTCCTGCTAAACTTATTGCCATAGCTAACTAGTCTTCTGACAGCGTATTGAAATTGGTATAGGAAATCAATCAATAGGAGAGGGGTCTGTACTTACGGTGTGACCAGGGGTACCTGGCTTTCCATCCTTGCCCGGCGTTCCGGGCGCTCCTCGCAACGTTTCCCGCAACGACTCATTGTCCTTGATGGCCTCTAGGATATCAGACGCATTACATGTACACTCGCCAGTGTATTTCTGGGGGAGAGATGAAAAACAAACTTAGCACCTGGCTGTGCCTGTGGATCGGATCGCATTACCGCCGCACATCGTTATGCCAGGCAGGCAATTTCGCGTTGCCCACCACAACTGCACAGAGAAAAATTCTTTATTGCTATAAGATTGCTTAAATTTCATTCTAAATGAGCAATAGAGCAACACAATAATAAATAATATTGTATTAATTAGCTTCTTATTAATGGCTTAAGTTGTTTGGTAAAGAAGTAAGTTGATTTCATTTTAAATTAGATGGAAATGTTTCGAAACATTTTCCTTTCAAATATTGTTTCTTGAATTATAATTCAATATAACTTTTAACAGACATGGAATATTTATTTATTTATATATTTATTTCATTTTTTTTATTATATATTTATTTATATATAATATTTATTTTATTATTTATTTATTTATATATTTATTTTATTATATTTATTTATTTTTATGATTTAACTCAAATTTATTCTTTATCATTTTTTATTCTATATTGCTCATTAGTATTTTTCTCTGTGCAGATGCTGGCGGCGAATAAGTCTCAATTTGCAATACTCACAGCCCCCGCACTCGTGGTCTCGACAAAGGGCGGATAGGCGGCCGTTTCGCCTTTGGGCCCGGGCGGACCCGGCGGTCCCGGCGGACCGCGAATGCTGTCGCCCTTGGGTCCGCGCTCTCCCTTCTCGCCCTTGATGCCGCGGTACGCTGCAAAATAAAATAGAGGAGCAAAAAAGAGGGAAGATAGAGATTGCATTAGCTTTGGACACATTAGCCGGAGTGGAATGGACTCCGGCGGGGCAGCACTCACGTCTCTCGTGCGAATATGTCGTCTGTCCCGGGGGCTGCATGCCACTGGCGTCGAAGATGTCCGTCGCCTGCGGAAAAGGGGGAAATCGAATACTCATTAAGACACGAGTGCAAACTGTTGTCGAACTCATCATCGATTTTCACTTCCACACCGCGGCATTAACTTATGGCTAAATATAAATATTTAATTATGCAAAGTGCAGCCAGACTGCTGACCAATATCCCCATTTTATGGCTTTTCAAGAGCACTGTCAATAGCAATAGCAATATCAAATTGCACTTGCTCCATGAACCAACAATTACTCTATTTGTTTTACTCTTTTTTTCGCACGGTGCACTAACCTCGTCGTCTGTCTCCCAAAAATCATCATTTAAAAGGTTAACTTCCGTTGACTCTTCGAAGGTAATACTCTAGGGGCCAAAAAATATGAAAGGAGGAAGGGGAAACAAATAAATGAAAAGGGGGAAAACAGTTTAAGCAAACAAGAATTTGGAAACCAACATACCTCTCCAGATCCTTCCATTAGAAAAGATTCCTCATCCTTAAAAAATAAGAGAAAATAAAAATAAAAGGCCAAAGTTTTAGGTAAAGAAAAAAAAACAAAAAAGGGGGATGAAATATATGTAATAACTTAAAAGGCACAATAATAAAAAAAAATATAAAAAATAAATACACATTTTTAGATAAATAAAAAGTTTTCAAAAAAAATTTAAATTACTATTTTGGCTTATTATTTTCTATTGCCACATTGCAATGCATTGCACTTCACATTTGCAGGCTTAAACCAACCAGATTATAACCGATGAACTGTTTAATTCACAAATTTAACCTTACTGTGCCTGGATTAAAAATACATGATCGAATAAGTGTATCTGATTACATGTTATTTGCGGCATTAGCAGTCTCAATAAATAAACGCAAAGCCCATGCAAATATTCTCTCACTTATGGAGACATAATGCAATTTTAATGTAATTTGTCAGTAAGATGATTTGCCTGGCCATTCATTAATTAATTTAAATTTAAACCATTTCATCGCACTCTATAGCTGTTGTTGTTATTGTCGTTTTTGTTGTTATTGTTTCTGGTGGTGGTGACCCCAATGATGACTTACCGCTGTGGTTGGGGCGACCGTTGCCTTTGGGGGCGGCATACATGTGACGTTTATGGCATCGGGATTACCATAGACATTGATTTTTTCTAAATAGCCCTGCGTTAGATATTGACGTTTGTGTTAGCAGGGAAATATATGCATACCATAATGCGAGGGGAATAATTTTCGAAACGCTTTTCATCGAGTCCAATGCACAAGGCACACAGCCCACAGGCTCCCCCATACATAATAAATCAATCAATTTGTATACTATATATATATAAAGCTATAAAGTATATCCCTGTTTAAGCCCACGAGTAGAACCAGACGTAATTGCCGCAAATCGAAATTTATTATTGATGTTAATTTGCAACAGTAACTGCCGACCGGTTCAACTAATGTGCCGTGGTTTCGGATTTGAAATTACAATTAAGCATGCATATTTCACATTGGCCAAAAGGGGCCTGGCCAACTAACCACTTGCAGCCAGCAGGCAGTCGAACTGCTAACCGCAGATACTAACTACGGAATACGGAATACGAAATACGGAATGGGCCTATAAAGACAATGAACCACAAACAATGCGCAACGTTCCCGGGTTCCTGAGTCCTGAGTCCTTAGTCCTGCTCCTGAGTCTCCTGCTCCCGATTCTGATTCCGATTCTGATTCTGATTCTGGTTGTGATTCTGAGCCCGCTTCTGTTCCTGGCTGGCAGACCCACTTACCCAGATAGAGACACAAATGCTCAATGCACATTTGCCCATAAACTCAACCCCTGCAAATAAAAATGGCAGCAAACACTCAGGCCCAGAACTCCGGTTTTCAGGACTCGAGGAGACCAGTTCGAGGATCCCAGGACTAAGCCACCGTAATGGCAGCCGGTTATTGTAGTTGTTGCTGCTCCTCCTGCTGCTCCTCTGGCTGCTCTGGCTGCTCCTCTTGTGAATGATAGTAATGGCCGAGGAGCTTTTATGCTGCCGCTCAGCTAAAAAAGTTTTGTCTGAGACGCTAACTCGTTGAATTTCGGGTTAAAAGCGTACTGGCGAGGCCCACAATGGCTTAATATTCGCCGAGTCTGTGGAGGACTCACAATCTGGCTTTTGGACCCCAAGTTTATGGCAGAAGCAGAATATACTATACATGGCTCGGATCACAAAAGCGAGAATATAGAGTTTTAGAAATTTAAAACCTACATTTACCATCTTTAAACTTGAAACAGTTCCGTAAAGAATTTTATTACATTAAAGGAAATATTAAATGCATAATTCTTTAATATTTAAATTTTATGAAACAAAAACCAATTAAAAACTTTAGGTGTTCACCTTTTATTATAGCATATATTTTTAATAAATTTTTTTAACGAAAAAAATACCACTGCATTTTAACTATTTTTTGACAAGAACAAACTTCGATTTTTAAACAAGTTTTAATATTATCTTCTTCTGCAAAATCCCTGCAGGTTCACGAACTCCGGTTCTGTTCATCGCATAAACTTTGGTCAATGACAAAAGAAGGGGTTTTCAGAGAGTATTTATATGGGAATCGAGGGGAAGATAGCGGGTTGCTACACACACGTGGCCCATCAATAGACATTGAAGTGCGCATTGTTCGCTATGTTGCTTGTAGCTTGTTGCTGTTGTGCCATTGAATGCGGATATTAAAGTTTTCGCTTTGTTTCTGGCTCTGCTTTGTTTTGGTTCAAGAAAACTATGCGCTAAACAAATGGCAAGCCGGCGAAAATCACTGGTCGGAGAGTCAGAGCATGAAAGCAATGTCCGGGTCCGTTTCTACTCTACTCTACTATATATGTCCGTACTTTTGTCCGCCATGGTTTGTCCGTCCGTGGTCGTGTCCGTTTGGCCCAGTTTCCATTGGAGCACGTGCTTCTAAGTTTTTTCTGCTTCTGTGTGTGTGTGTGTGTGTGTGCAACAAAATTAGCAGCAAGGAAATTCACTTGAAACGGAAATTAAGCCGCAGGAAGTGGCATTTTTGGGCGTGAGTCGCCATCGCCATTTTGGATTTTTTCGCTACCACTGGCTTCTGCCTCATTATTACCTGCATTTTTGGCTAAGTAAATTGACAGCAGTTAGCATTGTGCAGTTGCCCAACAAAGGTAAAGAAAAACAACATTTTATCTGCATCACAATTCTGTGAAGGTAAAACGGAGGCCCTTTTTAAGGATATCGCATTCTCTGCTGGAATAATAATAACTGTTGCCGTATTATTCTGTGTACATTTGCTTAGCCAAGTATTAGCTTTCACAGTCCGACTTATCCCTTATTTCCAGTGCGGATCTGCCAAAGGAAAACTATCTGGGCATCGCAAAAAGGACTTAACCTCGACCGAACCGAGAACCCTTTTCGACCGCTCCTTCAGTGCGGCAGAAATTCAGAGCGATGAACTGATAAGAGGACATCAAAGCCGCTCGCCTCCGCAATATTGTGCACGACAACAAGCCGCTGCAAAGGCAACTGGCCACCAAAAAAGGCGTAAGTAAATAAGTACACGGAGAGAAAAATATATAAAAAGCATTCATAATGTGAAGTTACTTGATATATTAGAACAACTCTTTTTTAATTGTGACCAATTAATAAATTCTTAAAATAATCTATGATCTTTATATATCGAAAGAATTTCTTCATAAATAATTACAGGATACATATGCAAGAAATTAATTAAATATATTCGATTTAAAAATTAAAAAGAAAAGTTCTAATTTATTTAGTGAAGTACCTATATATTTTACCATTCAGTATTATGAAATTGGCTACCTAAAGTATCACACTGGCTTATTTATGAATATGAACTTAGACCCCAGACTTTTTTCTAGTGCACTTGGGAATTGTAGAGGCGAATGACAACAGCAGTTGTGACAGAGGGTCAAGCGCAGACAAAGGCCGCTTTAAATAACGAAAAGCTGGCCGCAGGCTAAAGAAACATTTTCGGTGCCCGAGATCCTGGCGGAATGTGATTTTAAGGTGAGCATTTAGCTTAAATAGTGTCAGGCTAAGAGTTGGAAGGATGCAGAAGGGAATGCGAATGGGGATAGGGATGAGGATGAGGATGAAGATGGCAGGATGGCGACTCGGAGGAGAAGGACTCGGCTCAGCAGCAGCGGCAGGTCGGTCAAGTGGCGCAGAGAGTGCTCCGAGTGCCATGAGCAATTAACTGGGCTGAAAGTGCATGTGCACACGGACCATATGTGTGTGTGTGTGTGTTGTGTGTATGTTGTGTGTGTGCTGATGCTTGTGCATTTGTTGTTTGTTCTGTGCCGCACATAATTAAGGCCAGAAATGAACTGAAATGCGAAAGAAGCGGAGCAAGGACACAACATGCCAGCAAACCAGGAGGAGTGTGGGTTGCGAATGGGAAATGGAAATGGAGGTGCGGTAATATTTGCGCAGCAGCAAGGCGGCTTTCATTGCCTAGCAATGAGTCCTTTGCTCCTGACGAGGGTTCGCCCTGCGTATTGAAAATAAAGCAAATAATACGCAAATCGTTGACCCTTTTCCATTTGCCATTCGGACGAAAACCAGAAAGGTAAACCGTCCTTTGTCCGAGCTTCTCAGAAATGCCAGACACGTTTCACGCTGCAAGTTGCGAGAATAAGAAAAAGGACTCACAACTTCGGCGAACAGAAGCTCCACCCACGCTCCTCTGCGGCTGTCTGGCAATTTGTCAAAAATGTGTCAATAATGGAGATCGATTGGGGGCCTCTTAAAAATTAACCGAAAATGGATTCGGTTCGAATGAATCCATTGCCCGGCAATAACTCTTCAATTGTCTCAATCAGAAAGTTGCGAAAGGAACTTGGGTTCAGTCGATGTTTATCGAAACTATAAAATGTTGTTTGTGTTTATTTGCCAAATAAGATTTATTTATTTTAGCCGCTGTCATGCGGAGCTTTACGACACATTGTTTGACAACTGTTGGCAGTTGTGTACGAGTTTTAACGATAGCGATTCGTCTATAGACTATTTTATTTACATTTAATTGTTGTCTCTTTTATCTCTGGAAAGCCTATTCAAGTTAAAGAATTATAATTTATTAGTAAAACTAATTTAATTTAATTTAAATTCAAATAAATCTTTAACTAGGCAGAAAAGTGTTAAGCTTCCTGTGGAGGTCATAGCTCAGGGTAGCTCTCCACACTCGTACACATCTAGCCTGTATTGAATTACATTCAGCAAAACTTAAAGCCGAGCTTAAAACGTGCTCCCAATGCCACAAAAGGTCTGCTCTTGAAGCCACTTACCTCCCAACATTTCTCATGTCGAGAGTTAAATTCTTAATTAAGCACAAATATTTAATAAGTGAAATTTACGGTATGCGGCAGCATCAAAACAAAGGAAAGCTTTAGGCATTAAGATTACCATAAAACTGTTTCCGCCATCCATGCTTACATACTCTAATTTTTAGAAAGTTTATTAGGGGTTTGATGGTATACATTTTTAGTTTTTAACGAAATATTTCTTGTTTGAAACTATAAGTTTTCAGGTTGATTTCAGTTCAAAGTTTTTATGAATTAATACAAATTCAAGCATTTTTTGAGAAGACTAGATATTTAATTCTAAGATATATATTAAAAAAATAAGAATTTTGTAAAACGGGAATCTATTTTCATTATCAGGATTAACAGATAACCACTACTTTTTTATTTGAGATTAAAGTAGTTTTTCCTCACCGCTTTTCATTTAATAATCTAGAGTATTCGTAATGGCACTTGATTCGTGAAAGCTTTTTAATTTTTCTCAGTTTCCTCTACCTCTTACATAACGACAATGGCAGCCAACAACAGCGGAAGCGGATGTATATATATCCTCGACTCGCTCCGACACAGTTTGAGGTTCTTAATTTGCTTGTGTATGTGTGTTTGTGTGTATCTGTGTCTGTGCGGGAGTATCTGCATTTGTTAGCTGTTCTGAGTTCTGGCAAAACGTGCACTCGCACCCCCCGAAAAAAAGTTATGCTCAAGTTAATAGATAATTAACCATGCAAATTGCCGCGCAACAGTTTACAGATACGGGTGTCTCATCCTCGTCATCATCATCATCATCATTATGATCATCATTGGCATAGTCATCGTCATCGTCGTTTTCATTTTCATTTTCATCGTTCACAGATTCAGTGTCTCTGTGTCACCGGCAACATGCGTAAGCACTTTGAACGCGGCGACTACCTGTGCCACCAGCCACCAGCCACCTGCCTCTTGCCACCCTCACCACCTTGCCACTTGCCACCTGGGCGCGCTCAAGTACAAAAGAATTAACTCTAATTACTTTGTAATGTTGATTAAGCCTGTTAGAGCGCATTAAATATGTAAGCGACGTTTTGACATTTTCAGCATATTTGCCAGCGGCTTTGCGGGGTGCAAAAACTATATGAATTATGCACACTTGCCACTAGACTCCCGTGATCCTAATTTCGAATGGAATCCGGCTTTGGCTTTAATTTGGCTTCAATTAGCAAGCCGCATAAATGTTCAAACAATTGGGTTTTCAATTCGCTACAAAGTATGTATTTCAATGGCCGCACGAATGGAAATTGAAATGGGAATACCAAATACCGAAAAGGCCGAATTTAAATTCAACTTTATAGCCGCCAAACGACAGGCGGTCGACAGCCAACAACAAACAAAACGCCAATCCAACTCGGAACTCGCTGAACTCGCAGAGAACTCCGCTTTCGACCTGGCCAAGTTACCCGGGTCATAGCATAGTTTCTAAATCACTTTCTGACAGCCGTTTCGGCCCTCGGTAAAGTCAAGTTAAAAAAAAAAAAAAAAAGAAAAAAAAATAAAGGAAAACACCGGAGCAACGAGGATAACAATCGCTACGTCAAAAAGTTGCGCACTTTTTGTAATTTTATTTTATTTCCGTTTAAATGCGTGCGCCGCCCCCTCGTTGCCACTTTTCACTTTTCGGATGAGCTGGGGTCTGAGGTTTCGGTGCGATTTTAAAGCTAAATTATAGCAGCATAAATTTTTACGGCCCCCTTTTCCGAGGGGGGCGGACTACTACTTCTTGGCCAAAACGAACGAAAATAAGGCGGCGGCCAGGTGCAGGACTTAATTCTCTTTACTCTGCACTTGACTTCAGAGCTCTTTTTTCTGACACTCGACGGCCGTTTCAGATTTTATTTGATGCCCATTTTCATTTTTTTTTTTCGGCTGCTCTTGTTTTGCATATAATCAGAATAAATTACTTTGCACATTTTGCGGCACATAAATTATTTAAGACGCAGTCGCATCAAAGCGCAGAGAGCACATAACGCCGAACTCACACACGCATTTTTAGCATCTATGTTGTGTACAGTTGTGCTGTATGCTTTTAAGGACCGAAATGGTAATGGCCTTAAAATTAAAAAACATTTCAGCTTGGCCATGAAGGTTGGGGGAACTCTCCGAGGGAATAGGGGGTTCAAAACCATAACTTAAATAAACTCTTATTTCAAAAAGAAACACAACCAAAAACTGGTTAATGTTTATATTAAGCAAATATAATATTATTGAAAAAATACATTTTTTTTATATATTTTATTATTTCTGTAGAATGAGAGTCACATATGTTATAGTGGCTTAAATGTTTTTATTTTAGCTGACACTCTTATGAATAAGCAGGATTAATATCATGTATTTTGTCAATTAATATAAATAACATGTTCTCTGCTTTTTTAAACAAGTTTTTCTTATAGCATTAATTTGAATGCGTACATTTTCCAATGTCCATGTGCACCGAGCAGAAGTGACTATCTAAATAGTGGCAGAGAGACAGAAATGGAAAAACAAACCGAATCCGAAAAGGAGAAGAGGGGGAAATGAATCTAGAAAATTGGGGGAATGGGAAAGGGGGGAGGAGGGAGGAGAGCGAGGGGACTTGGGGCCTCAGCCAGGGGACCAAAAACAATGAAACGGCAAATGCCAACCGCATAGTGACAGATTTTTTTTAATTTTGCTAAAAACCTACGACTAATTCTCAAACGAGCTGACACAAATCTCGAAAAGTTTTTGCGCCAACGTTTTTGCAGAAGCGTCTGTCGTCCCCCGGTCCTTCAGTCACTTTGTGTCCTTCCCTCTCTGCGACTGTCACAGTGCCTATCTGGCCGCCTGTTTATCCTGGGGAGTACGAGGCACACACTATATATACAGATATACACCAGATGATACATATGTACCAACTGCAGAAAAAGAACTCGGAACAGGAGCTTCTGGCCTTTCGGCAAATGCGAAAAGGATGTTTTACCAAAAAGCTTAAGCTAAATATTATGCATTAAAATATCTATCTTAAAAAATGGTATATTTTAATCTAAATCTCAATTAAATCCTTTATTTAAATACAAATAAAATCTCTATTCCACAAACTTTTAAGTTCATGAAGATATATTGTTTTTATCTTTTTATTTATTCAAGATTGTGTGTCACTTTTCTGCTCAATGAATTTATTAGTATATTTGCATCTCTTTATTTACGTTATTGTTACCCCAAGAAAGAATATGAAAGCGGAAGGGTTACATCTGCATTTTATTGTTGGCCAAAAGTGCCGGCTACAATTAGTTTAAAACGAGAAAAGCTCACAGAAGCAGAAAAAATGGAACTAACGTTGTGTATAAACCAACACGTTATGTGTATGCTAAAGATTTGTCAGAGTTTTTATGCCTGTGTGTGTGTACGTTTGTATGTTGATTTAGACAATTTATAAACCCAAACCAAACAGACTGTGACAATGTTGCGTATACGCAGCGTAAACCGTTTTCCTGAAGCAGCTGCAGCTACAGAAAAGTATCCACCACTCGAAGCACAATTCAAAACAGATGCACAAAAAAGAAGACAAAAAACAAGGATGGTTGGCAGAATTTCAGAGATCAACTCTTCTTTGAAATTAACTTCACTCAATGCTAAAATGGTTATAGTTAAATTATTATACAAATTTCAACATGGAAACCCCTAAGATCATAAACAAACTGTTGAAGGAAGCGCCCAAAAATACAAAAGGTTGCAAAGAAATTGCAGATCTCCGAAGTTTAATCATCGAAATGATGAAACCCCGCATGGATAAACTATATCAGATCTCAAAGATGCAAATGGTTCCATCCACACGCGATGAGTTTTATGATGAAGAAGAAGACTGGTGGCCAGATTACGAATTGTTCTCGAATTCACTAGCCATCACCGATATGAATGTGAGTTATAATGCTTAATTTTTTTATTATTAAATTAAATAATTAAATCGCCAAATTTTTAACATTTTTAAAACATATTTATATAAACTGCTTCTTTCTTAAGTAAACCCATTTAATAAATTTGAATATTTATATTCAAAGGGCCTCCTTGTCTACACCCAAGATGCCCTAAAGGGCATGCCGGATGACTTAAAAGCCATTGCTGAAAAGTTTGACTTTGCCTACATGGTTTCAAAGCCCACAAATATTCAGAATAAAACCAAAAATTACCGCCTAGCGGAAGAACTAATAGAGGACATCGGAGACTTTGTCATTCACTTCAATCGTCTGTGCATTAAAATACTCGACGATCGAAGGAACATCTATGATCTGGCCGCGTTGACAAAGGACACCGGCGATCGAATCAAAGTGAAGATCTTCGACGAACAAGCTTTTCTGAAACTAGTCTCGCGAATTAACAATTTGCGGAGCTATATCACAGATTTCTGTGCTCTTTTTGAGGCGCATGTGGAAACCAAGGAGGAGGATGAAGCCAATCCGCTCGATAAGTTTGCCAAACGCCGGGGAACGCTTCAAATGGCAACCGTTGATAAGGGCCAGACTTAAGCCAGATCGATCAGGAAGTCATCTCGTTCTTTATTCCCAGGGCTTGGCTTCCATCGCTTTCATTGTACAATACACACACACACATGGCAGACACAAAGCACACAGATACACAGATACCAAGATACAGATACATGACTCCGGCATGGGCGGTAATAAAGAGTTCGCCTCCAGTGTATTGGAGTATCTGGGAAAGCTTTTTATGCTTCAAAGTCAATATAGTAGTGTGCCATGTACAGAGCGCACAGTTTTAAAACGGTAAGTATGCCTTTCAGTTACGTGGTCGTGTGTGGTGACACACTTGCCCCGCCGCCTTCCCGCTGGCCAACCGAAGCAAACCCATCTCAGCCCCGCCCAGGCGGCCCATCAGCCCTCCAGCCACCCACCACCCACCACCACCCATTACCCCCACCCTTCCGAACCGACCGACCGCCCACCCACCAACGGCCCCTTGTCAATGGGCTGTTAGTTGCTCCGAGCACAGACGCCATTCAAGCGGAAATGCAGCACCGAAAGCCGGCTACGAGCTACACTCAGGAAATTTGTATATAAATTAAAAAAAATATTCTTATAATACATATTTACCCTTATTTCTTTGAAAGGGTTAAGTAACCCAAACGAAGGCAAAGATATTCCCTGATGGTCTGAGAAAACTTTCTCAGAAACAATAAAAAATCTTTCATCAATAACGACATAATGGTTAGGATATAAAGTAATTAAATAAAAATCGAAGATATTGCCACTCCCCAAAATCTGAGAAAACTTTTACCGAAACACTTGAATACATCTTCACACCGACTTTAAACCAAAAACGTCAAATTGCTTACTGGATAATGTAATTAAACCTTTAATTCTGTTTATAACAATAGTTTGTTGTCAGTTTATTTTTAAAATGGACGTCGACCTTGAAACAATATCTTTATTCAAAATTATTTTCAAAGGCTTTATAATACTTTTGGTTCATTTTTTAGCCGGGATTTTAAAAATTTTATTTTGTTTAATACAATCAAACTACAACAAAAGCCAGAGTGCAAAACCACTTCGAAAGTATATTATACATACACCTAAATATGATTATTGAAAGGAGTTTCTGTGGTACAGATTTAGTTTACTAAAAGAGACTAAACTCCCCAGTCTCCGAATCATTGCGAATCCTTTTGTTCATAGATATACCAAAATCTTAAAACCATTTTATTTTTCTTTCTCTGTGAGGTCTGTTAACGGGCACACGGCAACGAAAAAAGAGCCAGAGCCAGAGGCAGAAACCTCCATGTGAAGTGTGTCATCAGTTTAAGGTTTTTGTGGGCAGCACTCTCACACAGACAGAAATCCACTCTCACACACACACGCACACTAATAGAGACCGGCACACACAAACAGGCTCAGAGGAGCGGAGACAGCGATATGGAGGAGCTACACTCACGAGACCGAGCAGCCCGTATTTTCATAATAAACAAATGGGTTGGATGGTTGGTTGGCTTAACTTTCGGGCTGCCAGCAAGTCGCAGATAGCAGATAGGAGATGGCAGATAGCGACAGCCACCGCTCCGTATTCCGTATTTGTTAGCGCAAATCAGTGCTATTTATATTGCGGCGGTGGCAAGGTACGAATATATCCCGGCGCACATACTATATCTCCGGCCATATCTGGAGTCCGACCCCCGGGGGCATCGCAGTGCGTGGCGCTTGTCAACACGCTTGCCAACTGCAGCTGGAGACTGAGACTGAGGGGTTTGCATCCAATTTGCGGAGCAACGCGAAAAGGGCTACATACTCAGATGCAGATGTAGATGCATCTGCACAGTTTGCGATGAAGAACAACCTGCAAGTTACCCGGGGATTGTAACAAGGGGGGAGGACATTTGTCTTAAAAACAAGCTGATTTTTTATATTAAGGAGCAACTCTGAATACAAAGTAGTAACTACAGAAATAACTGAAAAGTATTGTTTACAAAATCATTATCAATAATCTTCTTCTGATGAAAAACATTGAAAAATATTCTAAAAGATATTAATTGTATTTTATTATAATAGATACAATATTTTCATTTCTTTATATTAAGTGTTTAATATCTCAAACCAAATATTTTTTAAATATTTCCAAAAGTCGTACCATAATCATGACTCATATCAGGATCGGTGAGATAGAGCACAGCTGCACTTTGACTGGGGGAAACTTCCACTGCAGGTTGTCAATGCAACAAGTTCAAAAGGCGAAACTTTGCTTTGCCTATCTCCCTGTCGAAACCGCAAGAGTTGGGCCAAAGTTGCGCTATCTTTGCCATCAAAATTGAACTACTGCCGTCGTCCTCGAACTCCTGGCGCAGCACAATAATAAATTTATTACGGACGGTTGGCGGGGCGTGTCGACGTCATCATCGAGTTCCAAGTTCTCTCCTTCTACGACTCCTCGGGTGCGTGCAACTCCCTGCCACTCGACTGGCATAACCCGTAGTTATAGTGGCATGCTGCGCTTTAATAAAATATTATCATAAACGTAACGGAAGCTAGTTTTTCATATGCTTATTCCCAGCCAGTGGGAAGAAGCTTTCACAAATATCCGTATCCCCGTATGTTTGCTCCGCCAGTTTCCCTTCGCAGGATGGCAACTGGAGTAATATGTTTTCATAAATCAAATGTACGGAGCGTTGCTCAATATTTAATGTTTCGCCTTTCGGAATTTATACACATCAAGAATGTGGGGATTATATTTGAAATTTTCGTGAAGCAAAGCTTCTCAGCACGACACTCATGAATATGAGAAACGATTCCTTGCTCTGCCAGCAAAATGTCGAGAGCTCGACTTGACTTAATTCCAACCGACGTTTTGGGATTTGCTGGTATTTAGCAGGGAAAGAAAATTCTTAATAACAGCCTTTTAAAAAATTAGAGTCATCAGTTTCGTTTGAAAATAAATACAACCAGTGAGGGTATATTTTGTAAGTAAACACAGATACGTTTGCCAACATTTCGCTTTGGCATTTTCTATCTGAACTGGCCGGAAACTTTCATTCTGCTTTCAGGGTACTCGGATATTTTCATTATTTATTGCCAGCCACGAATGCACATACACGTGTATGTTTGTCTAGGTAAATCTAGGGAAATGGAAGGAATGCTTTTCCGGTAGTTTTTTATTGCTCAATCGAGACGAGGCTAGTGGGTGTGAGTTAATACCGAAGGCTGGCTACTTTCTTTCCATCCCACACAAATGTTCTTGGTTGCTCCTTCGACTTGGGGTGCAAATGCCTTTTTTATGCCTTCGAGGGATACCGCATAACATGTACCTTATTAATTGGAATTGCGCAACAAGGAAATGGAAATCGACGAGTGGCTTGGTAACACAATACTTGTCAGCCCATAAATGTCCAACAACTTGGGACGAATCGAATCGCTAAATGCATTAACTATAATTGGCTTTTGCCTAATTTCGCTTTTGGCTAATTAGGCACTAATGAAACCTAATAGACCTTCCTAGTAAGCCACATATCTAAGCCCCGGGGTTTCCGAAGAATCAGTCAATAAGCCAACTGCTGCTGGCAGTGGATAACCACCTTGTATTAAGCAAGGACAAATTGCCTGTCAATCTACGTGTAATTTTTATAAATTTCCAATTGTGCGCCAACCGGATTTTCCTTTCGTTCCTTTCGCGATTTTCTCCCCCCTTTTCCTCCGTTTTAACTTGGGGTCGTAATTAACAGCGCCAAGGAAACTAGGAAAATAGCGACAACAACCAACGGCAAGCCTGTGTAATGTAAGTCACTGCTAATGAACCCATCGCTGGTTGGTAGTGGCAAATAGTTGTCGGGAGGGAGGCAGTGGGTTAAAAGCCAGTGGGTGGTGGTTGGTTGGTGGGTGGTGCCAGGTGCGACAGGTGAGACAGCCCATGCAGAAATGGCTTTATTAACAGCCTGACTCCAACCCACCGCTCACGCTCCGCTTTTTAGATTTTTATTGCTAAACTTTGTTGCTTTGGTTTTTTGTGCTGGTTTTCCTTTTCGCGTTCACCATGTTTATTTGGTTTTGTACTGGGAGAAAATATGAAATGTTCATCGGTAATAATATTAATTTTTTTGTAACAAAAAAAAAATTACTACATTTTATATAACAAGAAAGGAACTTTTCTTATTGATATCTTGCTTCCTTTCTTGTTTTTTGATTTTACTTTTATTCTCTTTGTGAATTTAATGGTAATCACTGTAAAAATATAACAAATATATAACTATAGCATATGTAGCTATACTATTTCTTATTTTATTAGATATTTTTTTAAATGTATTAGTTTTATTTTTTACCAATTCAAACAAATTTTTTCTTGTGCATGAAGATGGAAATAAATGGAAAATAGAGCTCCCATATCGAAGTCAGTCCGTTAACGCTTGTCGACATTCACCTTTTCCGTTCTCATGCGACACTTTGAATGTTTTAAATGGTTTTTTATTACCTCGCCCCTGCCATTTGCTCGCTTTCCGCGACTCGTCACCTGTATCCTTGTTTTCGCCCTCGTCCTGCTCCGCTGCTGCATAAAATTAGTTTAATCACTGTTTTCAGACTCGACTCGAAAAGGGGAGAGAGAATGGCAGGTGAGTGCCAGCCAAACCCATAAGTAAGCGTAAATAATGGAAAAGCAGTGCAACTATGGCGAAGGACACAGGACAAGCCACGCCCCTCGTCGTCCTGCGGGTGTCAATAGAAACATTAACTGGGCGTGCTGACAAAATTAGCACAACAATTATGCAGGTATTAGTCGAAGTTTGCTCTTACTGTGGCTCTGTATTGGCCGGTCCTTTGGGAAAGGCCTTTTGAGGTGGAAACAATGGAGGAAAACGTTTGACAGAAAGAAGGAAAAGGTTTTGCCGTCATGGGAATAGGACCCTTTGCTATTTTCTGCTGCCTTGGAGGTCAACTATTTATTTAAGTTTGGAAAAATTTGTATAACTCTTAAATTTAAAGCTTAAAATTTATTTATGGATAAAGCCCTTTGATATAAAAATGTATCATTAACTAAAATATGTTTGTTATTATTTATAAGCACATATTATGAATTAATTCCTTATTAAAAACATCTTTAAACCTCATTTAGTACATAAAACCATTTAACAACAAGCTAAATTAAAGAGGCAAGCAAACATCAAAATAAGCCACACATTAAACTGAGTAAACTTAATTAAGTTTAAGTGCGTTTCTCTTATTTAATT